ACAATTCCTCAATGCCACTTTCAGTCTCATAATACACTTTGTTACAACCTCTTTGCTGTTAGTCTAGGGTAAAAGGAATAACATTTAAATGTGTGGCAAGTTTACCATGTGATGGTGGAAGGAAAAGACAAATGAAATGCCAACAAAAGGGATTTAATGTACAAAAGTGAAAACCATTCAAATGACCAAATATATATACAAAAAGCAATAATTTGTAATAGTGAAAAAAAATGTAATAAAGTAGCCAGTTCAAAAAATATTACTTCAACTCTTGAAGGGGACGATAGTGAAGCCAAACAAAAGAAAGAAATATAACAAAACAGTTCGAACCTAAGAGTAACCTCTTACCTTGCTAGAAAGCATATTAAAAACAAAAGTAAAGAACAGTCTTTAGCGCTGCATTCTGTATTCTCTCCTATTATCATCTGTAGATTGAATAAAAAACAAAAGATGTCGTTCACCTCTTACCTGGTGTCTCTAACAATGAATGTCCTACGTGTTCGTAAGATGGAAGTCGTTCGATATCTTCCTTATTCACCTTACTCTCTGAGAAAAGCGTAAACTTGAGAGGTTTAATATGACTGGAAAGAGCCTGGTCATCAAAGTAACAAAATCATACAAAATAAAAATGTACAAAAATCATAAAAGTCTCAAATGTGGGCAAAATGGTGCAAAAGATTTTTGCCCAAAAACATCAAAAATCTAAATCGTGTCAGGAGAAATACACACAACGAGATCAAAGGATCAAACATAAACAACTGCATGACTATTTAAGCTGAACTTCCATATAAATGAAATTGTGGCATTGAAGCGTTGCCTGCAGCACTGATTGCAGATTGACGATGTAGTGGAAATGCCTTCATGCTGTAGACCTACACAGATGGGTGTTTGCCACAGATAAGTAGTGGCAATCACAGAGCACGCTTTTTTTAATCGTTTATCTTTGTAATTAAGGCCTTTATGTACTGATTCTATTTCAGGGCTCGAAATTAACTTTTTACTTGGTAGCACCGCTGCTCCCAACTTCAAATATTAAGGAGAAACTGTATAATTTAATACGTTAATATTTGTGCAATAATTCCAAAGTAAATGTCTAATAATTATAAAATATTATTGATGACGAAAATGACTTTAATACTAACAATTATTTACATCTCTCATGATCATGCTGTCTTGAATGTGCTTGAATGCAAGTTGTGTGCTATAAAAAGTCCTACTGTTACATCATGAAAAATAAATGAATGGTTTGCATCAAACACAAATTTAGCATTGCAGTAATAAATATTTATTTTATACTATTATTTTTATATTTATTTCAATTAAATAAATAATATTTCTGCTACAAAACAAACAAAAGATTATAATATATCATTCAATTCAAGGCTGAGAGCTGCAAAGCAGTCATCAGTAACTAAATAGTAAAATAATATGCATCGCTAGAAAGAATGGACAAAAGAAAGTAAGTAAAGTTTCACTTCTACTAAAAGTTTTGGTTTCGCTTTGTGTTATTTTAAATGCTCAGTCTCGTTATGTGCAGATTTATATTTTTCTATCTTTGTGGAAAGCAGGCGAGTCAGTCGGCCCAATAAATGAGGGGGCTGAGCAGGATTCTCCCGGTGACGACCGGCGCAATTCCGTTCTTTGTTATGAGCCGCATCAGTTTAAATTTAGTTAAGGCAAGCGTCTTTGGTGATGATGTGTACAGTGTTACATTTTACTTCTAGCAGACATTTGCGCTGAGCACGCAGTGAATGCAGCACATCGAGATTCAGTATACTTTTCACTCTTCAGCCGTTTACATTTCCCGCGGTCATAAAAGCTTCCTGTCATCTGACAGCGGAAAGCCTTGAGTGATCGACAGCTAAAATGAACCTATATAGTGGCAGGGAAGAGGGATTCAACACGCTTTTAGAAAAAAATAAAAACACAGTACAACCATTATATGCAGTCGCACGAATGCTCCTAAATATATTATAAGGTCGCATAGCTCAAATTTCGGGCGCATATGCGACCAAATTGGTCGCAGTTTCGAGCCCTGTATTTATATGCAGTGTTTGTCCTCTATGGTTATTCTCAGTGAATATGATTCAGAAATGATGAATTTATTAATGATGCATGCACAAACTTTAAAGGCCACCTATTTTACCCCTTTTACAAGATGTGAGAAGTCTTGTCTACTTCTCCTGCCTTTTATCAGATAAACAGCAGTCAGTAATAGAGGCAGACACGGTAAAGCTGAAATACAGTGCATTAATAAAAAATGCCAAGTTTAATTTATGTATTTGTGGTGGAGTTATTCAAGCCTTTCTGAAATGATGAGTCACACGCAAATGTCGTTGGCAGTACACGCATGCATGTTTTATGACACCAAGCGGCCATGGTGATTATAGCGGTTAAGAACTACATGGCATCTTTACTGTCTTTATAACAATCATGCTCTGTTTCAAAAATGTTTTAAACTTATAAAACATATAACAATCACAAAGCTGTGTAACAACTTTATTATACTTTTTATAACAAATATTTACCAAATACAAAAAAAAAATGTTCTGTGTAAATTTGTATACATGTTATTATAGAAATATGGTGCCTGTCAATTAATTTGATGGGTGGGGAAACTACACTCCTACGTCACGTTGCAGTGGGCCTCAAAATCACTGGGATTTGGGTCCTATTTTAACGTCAGGAAATTTAAAAAAGGGACGTGTTGGGTTTAAATCACTTCAGTATGACTGTGGACACACTATACCTACACACAGTTCTGTCCAAACAGCTTACAAAAGTTAATTTACATCATAGCTGCCCTTTAAAACTCACTTAAAAATGTGTGCATCAACTATCAAAATGCTTTAGTTTTTGCAAAAGTCTAAATAAATAAATCATTTTTTTGGCATGTAAACCCTCCTTTAGTGTTATTTAATATGGCAAGATGACCTAAATATGTAATTGTTACATTAGCTCATCTCCGCTGTCTTTCCCAAAATAAAAATGAAAAGTTCAACAGGAAGTTTCAGCTATGATAAATTAGCATATGACACAAAGAAATGTGTTTTCCCTTGTTTAATATAAGTGTTGAGGCTGCTGCCGTTCTGACTCTCATTACATTACATCACTTGTCTGGGGTTTCATAATTGTGAGTTTCCAGCTTGCAATTACAAGGTTGATAAAGGCTTGAACTGTTTTAATTGTAATTACGGTAATTATGACAAGCAGCCACTAAAGCCGGGTTTTAGGAATAGCAGTGCTGCCCATGAAGATGTGGGGTCTCTTATCTCTGTCTAGTCTGTTCTCTTCCTCTTCTCTTCGTCAGAAGCTGAAAAGTGTGGAAGTGTTTAATTGCCCATCTGTGAAGAACAGGTTGAGTCGCACTCAGAGCTGACTCATATTTCAAGTTCCTCCTTGGTTTCCTGTTATTTTATAAGTTGTCAACCAGCCGTCTTCTGTATCTTTTTTTTAATTTTTATATTTCTGCATATTTTTTCCACTAAAGAATTCAAAGTTAAAAGCTGTTTAATAAAAGTACATAAGTTGTTTTGTGAATATATCTGATCACAAATCTGACTGTTTGGATCACATTGTAGTTTTTTAGTCATGGATCGGACCATTTTTCAGATTAGCCAAAAGGGCAGGAGACAAATGTCATTTGCTTTCTATTTATAACAAAAACAGTACTGCAAGAAACTTTTGGTTTTAGCAAACAGAACTTAGAATCTGTAATGTTATGAAAAGTAAAATGAAGAAATAATCAGCTGAAAAATATTCAGTACTGAAAAAAATTCACTGTTACTACTACTGTAATTGCTAACGCTAAATGTATAAATATAACAGTATAATTTGTTCAACCGATGTTTATTTTTAGTCTGCATTTCCAATAAAGGATTCAATTATTCACTCATAAAACTTTAGGTTTCATTAATAGATATGTTATTTTTGAAGAATTATTTAGTGGCATTTTTCTAATGGCCATCTAGTGGTTATCTATTAAATAATGTAATTGCTGCCTACCAATTTCATTTTAGAGCATTCATTTAAATGCATGTCATGGTGATTTTAATCTTTACCATAAACATCGGTGGTTTTATCTAAAATATAAACTTCTATCCCAGTACTTCTGTGTTATTTGACTGTTTGTGTGTAACAGATTTGAATGCAGCTATTAGAAGGATTAATATAAAAATGCAAATCACCATCAATTATAATTTATGTTTTGTGGGTGTAGAAATCCTGATCTTTTAATGATCAGTCATGCAGCTTACAATGAATGCATTAATGCAGGCTAAACAAATAGTGACAGAAAACACCTTTAATAACCTACGAAACCCAACACTACATCCTGAATAACCTACCACAACTTCTTCTGTCATCATTGTATTTTACAGGAAAGCCTAAATGCTTTCATGCATGTGATTTCATACATCTGAGATCATTACAAATTTAGGATTAATCTACAAATAAAAAAAAAATAAATAAAAAAAAAAACACCGGGAAAACACAGTTTTCAAGCGGTATTTAGAAATAATTAGCAGGAGCTGGGCAGAGGACCTAAGGGATCTTTGGGGGGAAAACAAACTCAAACGTTCAGATATATAGGCCAGGGAAAGTCCGTGTAGAACTTTCAATTATCAATTATCTGTTTCACAGGGAGTCAGTGAAGAGAGGCCTGGATGGGAGAAATATGTTCTCTCTTATTTGTCCCAGTCAAAAAAGAGTGTTGCTGCATTTTGGACTATTGGTTATTAATTAATCTGTTATTATGCTGCTTAATTAAAATAAAGGTTTTCACATTTTATAATCGTGTTTACGGTCATAATTGATCAAATTAATGCACTTTTTCTAAATAACTAAATATTTTCTAAATAAACTAAAAAGCAAATTACTTTGAATTTTGCGAATTACAGTTTATGGATTTGACAATTTAAACAACAAATACAGTGTATTTTACTGTCAAAAGACATAAAAAATTCTATATATGTTCATGACATCCTGTGTGTCTGTTTTAGGCCTGGACTGTTCAATAACTGTACCAGCGAATGTCTCGTTCTGGACTCGTGAGGAATACAGTGGATATGGTTTAGTGCGGGCATCCCATAAGGCTGTGGTTCATGAAGATGTGATGTGGGTTATAGGAGGACATGTGTTCAACTACACACACTACCAGATGGTGACTGCGTAAGTATACACACACTAGCAGAAACTTAAGCAAATTCACATGTTGATAATAATTATATTGGCTGACAGTTTCACTTTCTCCTTTTATACCTCAGGTTCAACATCTCCTCTCAAAGCTGGATGACATTAAACCGGTCTGTCCACTCTGTAACTGGACGCTACGGTCATTCTCTGTCTGTGCACGAGGTTTGTGAATGGATGCGCCATTCTTTAACATTTGTGGATTCTTATAGACTTTTGAAATCATTAGTTTAATAGGGTAAATGCTGAGCTAATTTTGTTCTCATACTGATAAAGTTCCGGTGACTTGTTATTGTGATAAAAAAAAAAAAGTATTATTATTTTTTTTTTTCATTTTATACGGTTCTTTTTACAGCATCGATGTTGTAATGTAATTAAAATGCAATCAGTTAAATAGACTTTGACATTCATTTAGTTGCTCAAGCGAAAAATGAAACAAAAAGCCGTTTACTCGCACGCGCCCGTTAGTATCGGCAGGTTAGCGCAGAAGCTTCATTGAATATACTGGGTTAAAATAAATGCTCATATTATAAAGACATGGTTGGGAAAAATGTAATTTAATGCAGTGCTTCTTATACAATCTGAGACCCACTTTATATTGGATATCACAGTGGAGATCGCTGATTTTGTTTTATTAATCCATCACATTTAACAACTGTTTTAGTTTAATTATATATAACTACAAATATACAGCTGCAATTTCTTTAAATCAAGATTTAAAGAATATTACATATGAGCTTTGATTTTGGAGTTTCTGTATAACTATACATTACATATTATTATCTACTGTATTCAAACCAACTTCACAACTTCATTTGCGCTATTAAAGCAAGCTGTTCTCTTATCTTTCATGGGTGGATCTTTCATCTTGCTGTATAAATGTTTTTAAATCCTTAATGCGTTTTTAACCCTCTGGGGTCCAGGACCGCGTATACGCGTTTTGACCTGTGGTGGCGTCAAACTGCTGAAATGAACTTAAATACACTTTCAGTTTTAATCGTACAGATAAGATCAATACATCAATTGAATCTGTTATGTGTCTACTTTTTGTTGTGTACACTCACAACAACAACAAACGTGTGTGCTTTTGCAAAATAAGGAAAACAAACAGGGTAGGCATTCTGTCTTTTCTCTCTCTGTGAACTGCTTTTAGAAACGCGTCGGTAAAATGCGCTAAAACTCCGCGAATACAAAACACATCCAGATGAGACATGTATTTCTAGAAAGCTTAAAGTGTCTACTTTTAAACGCAACTATGCATGTTGAAAACAAACATTGCTTTATAAAGTAATCGATATGAAACCAACGCTATGTCTAGTTTCTTAGTCTGATCTCATTAGTTTTAATGCGACCACGCCCACGAGGCATTGTTATTTTGTAGACGCGAGCAGACTGTGGTCAGAAAAACACGTCACTAAAATGAAACTCTGCAACTAGTCAACAAAGATGATGAATTATGATATCCATATAAAGCTTGATATGTCTACTTTTGCATTAACCAATTCAAGTCGAAAACAAATGATCTCTTTTTATGTAATCCGTATAAAAGTAAGGACTGTTACGGATTCTCCTTATTCGCCTCATTACAGCAGCATGGTCCCGCCTCTCTGTTAGCACGCTTTATATGTAAATCCAGATATAAAAACAACGGAGGTAAAGGACCAGTGGCAAAGAGAGCTAAAGTAGACAAGAAGTACTCCGAGTTAGCTCAGTAATGAGAGTAATGTTGGTCTGTGTCATGCCGACAAACTATTAGATGAAGATGTAGCCATCAACTTCACAAAATGTTTAAAAACGCTACAAAAGTGGACCAAGTAATTTTGCGTCTGTGAGTCTTCGCTGATGTCAAGAAGAAGGCCAGCGGTTACAGTGAAATAGTGCCTTTTTCCTGCGCTGCTACCCATCACAGGATACTTGTCTGCAAGGCTACATTTCTAAGTGTCCTTTGTAAGTTTATTCTTTAAATAATTACTGTGAATACCGAATGAGAGAATGATAACTTGCGCCAAAAGCTGCTGTGATGCACGCGACTGTTTAAAAGATTTCATTATCGCACATGGTGTGTTTTCACCTGCTTTCTTTTGCTCACAGTAATTTTTTTTAATATGGATTGATTATCATTCTTTAAAATAACATTGCTCTAATATGAGATTACCAAAACTAACTCAGAATCTTATTATTGTAATTCAAACTTTGTATATACTATTCAATATATTATAATATATTGTTTTTTTAACCAATTTAAGATGTTTGACTGTTAAAATAATATGTTGCATTTCAGCATGTTTTTGACTTATTTATAAACTATTTATAGACATAAAGTTAAATAAAAATATCCTGGATTTGAAGAATATTGTGTTCCTGGACTTCACTGAGCTCAAGTAATAGTTTAATTTATAAAATTGTGAATGAACTTGACTGTTGATGTCTTAAATAATAATGTCAAATATCCAACATTTCTCAAAATGGATAAATCAAATTTTGCAACAAAACTCTTCATTTACAAAAAAATAAAATAAAATAAAAAATCAGTAGATTTGCTATGTGTAAGTTTAAAAGTTTGCAGAGTTTTATAGAGTGTACTGACTCTCACAAGTGTATCTCCAGTTATTTTGTGTGATTAATATATTTTAAATAACCTGCAAACAAAAAAGTAAATAAACTTTCCTCTGATTCCTTCTTGAAACTCTTCCCTCCTAGTCACATACCTGTCTGATGGCTCATTATGCAGCTCATTATGCAGGTCTTTGTCTTCTCAGGTGTGACTCACTGCATAGTAATGATAGTTCACGCCTTCCCGCATGAAGCAATTTCACTCATAAAGTGGCTTAAAATTTTAATTCATTATATTGTTTTCTGTGACCAAGTGAACAAGATGATTCTCACATCATTTTGAAGCAAAAACACTAGACTACCAGATCAAGTTCTCAAAAGTCTTGGGCACAAATGTTCTCTGTGGTTTTCACGGCCTTGTTTCAATGACTTCAAAATTTTAGTTTTTCACTGACCACGCATAAACATTTCTTTCTCAAAAACACAAACACATACAAACATTCTGCTTGGGTATTATTGTAGCCCAACTTGTGCTGTTTACAGTGTTATCACACTTTAGCCATTAATATGTTTTAAAGATACTGAAAACAACACAAATGTCAGTGCATGTCAAAACTTCTCCAGAGCCCCAAAACACCCTCAGACCCCAGAGGGTTAAACCTAATCTTTGGCTGTACAATTTGCTGATATTCGAGTCAATTACAATACTGTATTATTCTTCAACACATGCTATTGAATGTTTGCTACCCATGTCCTGCTTTCTTGTTCACATGCTCATAAGCTCAAACTCAAAAGTCAGAGTTAACAGATAGTTTATGACCAGAAACACCGTAATAAACAAAGCCAGATTGTACTGGTTTGTTTTTGTCAATTCAAAACTAATCCTTTAATCTTGAGTTTGTTAAACCACTATCATGGTACATGTTTCATGTTGTAGTTTCCGTCAGTGCATAACATATAAATAATGACTTCTTATGGAAATCCTTTGAATTCATGTTGTGTTTAACTAAGACCTGTGTGTGTAAAGCTTGTGGTTACTTATGCTGTTTGTCTTTGTGTGCAAACATTCAGGATAAAATCTACATGTACGGAGGGAAGATTGACTCCACAGGAAACGTGACGTCAGAGCTGTGGGTTTTCCACACGAGGAACCAGTCATGGGTTCTGCTCAGTCCCCGAGCTAAAGAGCAGTATGCAGTTGTGGGTCACTCAGCACACACTGTCCAACTCAATCCTGATGGATCCGAGCCTGTCATACTGGTGGTGTTCGGGCACTGCCCTCTTTATGGATACATCAGCCAAGTGCAGCAGTACAATATAGGTCAGTAACACACAGTCTTCGCAGTAGGGTTGGTTTATACATTAAAAATATGCATTATTATCACAGTTATTGCAGTTTTTGTGCTAGGCAGCAAATAATCACATCCAAAATAAGACTTTGTTTTAAATAATGAATTTGTGCAGGTTCTGTGTACATTTATATTTATATAAATGCATAAAAACCAAAATATACACATCAAATATATATAAATTGTATAATATGGTTCCGTAAACCATTATAAATAAAGAAATCCTCAAACATGTACACACATTTTTGTAGGTACATGTATAGTGCATCCGGAAAGTATTCATATAACTTTTTCACATTTTTTTTATGTTATAGCCCTATTCCAAAATTTATTAAATTAATTTATTTCCTCAAAATTCTACACACAATACACCATAATGACAATGTGAAAAAAGATTTTTCGAAATTGTTGCAAATTTATTAAAAATTAAAAACCTGAAAAATTACGTATTCACACCTTTTGCTGTGAAGCTCCAAATTGAGCCTAGGTCATTTTGTTTCCTCTGATCATTCCTGAGATGTTTCAGCAGCTTTATTGGAGTTCATCTGTGGTAAATTCAGTTGATTGGACATTATTTGAAAAGGCATACACCTGTCTATATAAGGTCCCAGAGTTGGCAGTGCATGTCAAAGCACAAACCAAGCATGAAGACAAGGGAATTGTCTTGAGACTGGATTGTCTCGAGGCACAAGGCTGGGAAGCTTACCGAAAAAATTCTGCTGCTCTGAAAGTTCCAATGAGCACAGTGGCCTCCATCATCCGTAAGAGGAAGATATTTGGAACCACCAGGACACTTCCTAGAGCTGGTCAGTGATCGAGGAGAAGGGCCTTTGTCGGAGGTGATCAATAACCAGATGGTCACTCTGTCTGATCAGCAGCGTTCTTCTGTGAAGAGAGAAAAACCTTGCAGAAGGACAACCATCTGTGCAGCAATCCACCAATCAGGCCTGTATGGTAGAGTGGCCAGACGGAAGCCACTCCCCGCCTAAAACTTGCCGAAAGGCATCTGAAGGACTCTCAGACCATAAGAAAGAAAATTATCTGGTCTGATGAGACAAAAATTGAACTCTTTGGAGTGAATGCCAGGTGTTACGTTTGGAGAAAACCAGGCATCGCTCATCACCACGCTAATACCATGTAATGGTATTCAATTATAATTCCTCCAGCAAGCACTGGAAGACTAGGCAGGATAGAGGGAGAGATGAATGCAGCAATGTACAGAGACATCCTGAATCAAAACCTGCTTCAGAGTGCTCTTGACCTCAGACTTTGGCAACGGTTAATCTTCCAGCAGGACAATGACCCAAAGCACACAGCCAAAATGTCAAGGGAGTGGCTTCACCACAACTCGGTGAATGTCCTTGAGTGACCCAGCCAGAGCCCAGATCCAAATCTTATTGAATGTCTCTTGAGAGATCTGAAAATAGCTGTACACTGTCGCTTCCCATCCAACCTGATAGAGCTTGAGAGGTACGGCAAAGAGAAATAGGCAAAAATTCCCAAAGACAGGTGTGCCAAGCTTGTGGCATCATATTCAAAAAGACTTGAGGCTGTAATTGTTGCCAAAGGTGCATCAACAAAGTATTGAGCAAAGGCTGTGAATACTTATGTACATGTGGTTTTTTTATTGTGTGTAGAATTTTAAGAAAAAAAAATAATTTAATCAATTTTGGAATAAGGCTGTAACATAAAAAATGTGGAAATAGTGAAGCGCTATGAATACTTGAATACCGGATGCACTGTACGTTATATGTTTGGGTACTGTGCATATTTATTTAGCAAATACACACATTTACTTTGAATTTTATTTTTTTTTTGTGATTAATTTGTTGCCCAGCACTAAAAGTAATATAAAAGTAGAGTGTTAATAAGGATAATGTTAAAAGTCTAGCTGTCTGAAAGTTGTAAGTCACATGATGAGTGATACACATGATACATTTCAAAATTCTATGCATTTTAAGTATTGATTTTTGTATTTATTTATATAAATGCATGTACCAGGAAGGGGTTAAAATGTGTATGTTATCTTTTCAAAAAGCAGAATGAATTTGGTTTGTGCTTCAATGCTAGTTCAAATGCAAAAAAAAAAAGAAAGTCTAAATTAATTGCATAAATAATTGTGCATGCTTACGAACTTACTCTTTCATTTTAGATTTTTGCTTTTTTATAATTGTGTATGTATTATAGCCAACAGTATGCATTTAAAAATAATCTATTTTACTTTAGGTACCAAAAATACTTGAATACAAAAAAGTCTGCTGAAACAGTAATATTTTTCCCCAATGCCATTTTTGTACAACTAACAAATCCTTTTAAGGGAGCCCCTATTCTGCATTATAATAGGTCATATTTTGGTTTTGGGGGTGTCCAACAACAGGCTGATATGCATGCAAGGTCAAAAAACACGTTCATTGTCTTATAATATGCATTTACTTTCACCCAATTATCCCAACGAATCCCTTATTATTTTTTCAGCCATTCATTTGTTCCCAAACCCCTCCTTTGCGTGAGGTTAATCTATGCTGATTGGTTCGATGACCCAGTCTGTTGTGAATGGTTGATTACATTTTTCACGAGATTGAGAGAAATGCCCAACAAGAGCCCAATGCAGCAATGCTTTAAATCAATGCAGTTAAACACCAGCATTTACTCTACTCTTAACCCTAACCCCAAGTATTAACAGCGACACGTTCAGCATTAATCCACACGGTGAAAAAATTTGAACTATGTAGAAATTGACCGCACCACGTGTGTGTAGAAACATCTGATGATGGCCATAGCAACAAACAGCAGGATATTGCAAGCACAAAATGCATTTAAATCAATAGAGGAAGAAGCACACATGACATTTTCAACGTGGTTTTGGACGTAAATGTGAATAGCCTCAAATATTTAACTTGAGAGATACATTACAAGCACTGATCTAGGAGCTATTAAACTACAGAACACGTGACAACAATTTTAATAAACTTTACGCTGTGTTAGAAGGAAAAACATTTACTGGATCTGGAGGAAGAAGAAACTACTCCATACAAACTGTGTAACAGTTACTGACAAAGTCCCATACATTAGTAGTCTTTGCTGATCTTTTCTTTAATAACAAACAGCTGGCAAATTTTGCGCTGCAGGGTAGATTATTGTATCAATCATCAGAAAAATGACAGGAACAAACCCAGCACATGGTTAGCTATACTGTGAGGTTGTTGTGAAATTGAACTTTAACCCTTTATTCCCCACAGCCGCATGTCTGGCTATCTCTCACTGATAGTAATCTTCATATCATGATCAATCCTATGATCCCTTGCAGGCGCGTTCACGTTTTACTGAATTCAGCACTTCATATTTAGCGATGTCTCTTATTGACGTTGATGCGTTCAGGCAAATGATCCAAACAAAGGATGAATCTTTCTTTATGAAATCTTTATCTGACTCGACTCAAATGAATCAATAGTTTTTAACACAGTGCACTTTCAGAATTAATCCTCAGCAGGATGTTTCCATTCACTTAAAGCTGTTACACACTGCATAAATAGTATTTTTCAAAAACCCATAATAGAACCCATAATAGGGGCTCTTTAATAACATGCGTCTATTTTGTTGACATAGCTGCACAATTGTAACCGTATATCATTTCATTTATTTACTTGTCTTTTACTGTGCACTGCACCATTTCCTTTTCACGTTACAATTTCAAGACGGCTCGGGGAATAAATAAATAAATAAATTCAAAATAAAACAGTATCTTTTTAAGAGCAGGCCTCGGGACACCTATGTTCTGTTCCTTTGAGTCTGGCTGTTTGAAAGGAAGAATTCATCCTGTATGAAAGCACCCTAATGCATGTGTCCCCACTCTGAGTCACAGTGAACAGTTGTGACCCACTTTCTGTCTGCTCACACCAACACTGTCATTCATCACAGAATTAAAACCGGGGCCTTTTTTAATATTAGTTTTCAGTCTGTGTGCTGTTTTGAAGTTGCGGTGGAAAAAATAATGCGACTCTTGATGATTGATTGTTGCTGTCATCTGGGCCACAGAGAGGGAGAATTGGGCAAGTTTTCATCTTTTACTTTCATAAAAGTGAATTGATGCCTGTGTGGTTTGAAATGAACATCAAACCGCTGCTAGCAAAAGAGGAGCATCTATCTAGTTGGACTTTTGACTGTGAGTCTTACACATACTGACAGGTTGAATTTCCGTGGTGTAGGCCATGTGCAGTGGTTTTAGTTTAAACTCTTCTGCCCTCTGGTGTTGAAAAGAAAGAGCAACAGCAAGTTGTTTTTTAACTACACTGTTATATATCTGTGAATTAACAGGTTCTGTTTGTTGCGGTTCACACGTAGACTCTTTCACGAAATGAACTCTCCTAAGGACATTTTTAGCAAAGTGACGCCAGGAATCTTTTTTTTAAATTATTACTTATTAACACTTAATACTATTAATGCTTATTTAATTTATGTATACATTTGTTTGTTGATTTTTAATTGCATATTTATTATTGAAATGTTCTTGCCGTGAAAATAGACTCTGTGGCTGACATGGCATTAAATAACAAATACATTACATTTGGATTACATGGTGTTTTCTGTTTATTTGCGATTGTGAATTCCACTATTGGGTGTTTGATGTTAAATATTTAACACCACAGATTAATTGACCTTTATTGACATTTTATTAATTTGAGACAATATATTGTTTGAGAAATATTATTGAGATCTAGGATTAAATATTTTTAGGCAGTTTATTATCAGGCTTTTGTACCTTAATTTACAACACATACACTGACAATATATTAAACTATTAAAAAATATCAATAAAAGTCACTTTTCAGCAATAAAAGCTTTTTGAGCAAATATCAAGATCCCTTAATGCGATCCAGAAGCCTAAATAAGTAGGAAAATCATGAATTCACGAACAAGGTTATTATAGTTTTGCGTTTTTATTTTTATACCATTTGACTTTTTTTCTGTAAATTTCAGTTTTTTTTTTCAATTTCATGTTTTTGTTAGTTTTAGTTTAGTTTTTATTTTGTGAAAACATTTCTCTTTAGTTTTTATATATTTAGTTTCAGTTTTAGTAATTGTAGTAAGGCCTGTCTTTATTTTTGGCTATACTATATATTGCACCAAAATATATCGTGATAAACAATATTATTGTCACTTTATACTGCCATATATTTTATATAATGCCAGAATGACAATATAATATCACAATGCAAGTACAGGTCACACTTTAGTTTGATGGTCCGTTTGTTGAATTTAATTTACATTGCATCTACATCCAACTAATTGCCATTAGATGATTATATACTGTTAGGGTTAGGGTTAGTGTAAGTTGACATGTACTTGCAAAGTTTCCTATAGTGAGTTAAATGTCTGTTGAAGGAACAGTATAATCAGATATTATGCAGACAGTCTACTAATACTCAAATGAACCATCAAAATACAGTGTTACCCAAGTACACTTTTTCAAAGAACATCTAATATTTTATTCTTAAGAATATTTCATTTAATCATTGTCATTTTAACAACTTAGGCATTGGAATTGAAATGTGAAAATGCATACCCTAAATAAATAAATAATAAATGTTAATAAAATAGTGAAAGGCAAAAAAAGTAACAGGCTGGGATATCTGCTAACAGATCTATTTTCATTTGTTAGACATCCACATAAAAATATACTATAGTTATTTCGAGTAAATACTATAGTGTTTTTAACTATATTGACACTGACACCTTTAGTAGAGATAGGGATGTTGCACAATCAGCTTAAATATTTGGTTTTTAAAAACTTTTAATGTATGGGCGATATATATAGAAATGCCAAAACTAGGCCCATGGTAACCTTTGATTTGGCCAACCATCCCATCTGTGAAGAGGTAGAGAATGACGGGGATGGTTTTGTGATTATCATTTCAAATTTAATGTAACCTTTTATTTGTTTGGTATATTGTTAAGCTAAAAAAGCTAACTGAAATTAAATGTTTTAATTTAAATGCTGTAGTTTAGTTTAAAATGTACATACTGTCACCCAAGAGATAGAGGACAATGCAAAGACTTTAGTGAGCAAATCAAGGCAAAGGCAGATTTTGCTTGACTAGTGTATTCAGCATTGAACTCCATTGTGTTATAATTTGTTATTTGTTTGTTGATTGTTTGTTTTTATTGCAATAATTTATGATTTAAAAAGTTATGCTGCATTAGATAATACGATTCAAAGTGATATTTTCTGTTTATTTTTAAATTTGAGGAAATTACCCATGGGAACTTTAATGTAAAATAGTTTGGTATTTGTATTCGTATTCGACCCATGACATTCAATGATATTAGTTTTTTGGCCCTTCATACAACAAGGTTGTCACGGTTGTGGTGGGGAAAAGGGGAAAAAGGAGCGAGGACTCAAGTGCAAAGAAACAAAGGGTATTTATTAATAATAAAATAAAAATAAAAAGCAAAACAAAACTACCCCGAGGGGGAAAACATTAACAAAACACACAAACTTGGCTCAACAAGAACAAGGCAAGACTGGATCAGGAACACGGGGAGTGTAGACAACGAACTCGCAAAGGACTGAAAACATGAGGGGGATTATAAAGCAAAAAAGTAAATTGACACACAGGTGAACACAATTAACTAATAATAGGTTGACAAGGAGGGTGGGACTAGACAATAGACGGGAGAGCGCATGACACAGAGAGACAATACAAGCCATGCGCTCACATAACACAACACTGAAGCACACGACAAAAGCACGTGACCAATGTAAACACCGAGCCATGTGCTTTTACAAAAGACGCAAGACACGAGCACACGATGAATGAAAACACTCACCATGCGCTCACATATGCAGCATGCATGCTTCATCCCAGCGCCGACCAAAACCGAAACCAACAAGACTGAGACGCTGGGAATGAAACACCATGCTGCTGACAGACGAAAACACAAACACGAGTACAAGAGCGCACGCGTCTGAGGGACGCAGAGCGCGCGCGCGGCCGCGTCAAGCAGAAGCACGCACACTCTGCGTACACCCACGACGGCGCGCGCGCACACAGAGACAGAAACAGGACCGGACATGGGTAGTGTCAGAGCTCTGCCACCAAAACAAGAATTTACAAAGACCAGAGTGGCAGAACCCTGACAAAGGTTTGGGCACCCCTGCTCTTGACTAATACATTTGACTGTAAAAGCACATCTAAGTGTTTCTCTAAACAGCCACAGGTCAGATTTTCATTCTTATTAGTTTAAAAACAATTCTTTTTTTTTTTTGCTTATTATTATTATTATTATTATTATTATTTGTATTATTTATTTATTTATTTTTAGCTACTTTTTCAGTGGCTTTTGTTAGTTTCGTTTAGTTTTTCATTTATTGTGATTTTTAAAATGTTATTTTAGTTAGTGACTAATAGTTTTAGTTTAAGTTTTTATTTAGTAAATAATCTTGCCACCAAATATTGAAAACTGTTTATTTAAAAATAATATTTAAAATGTAGGTGAATGAAGTGTTTAATTTTTTTGTTCACTAATTCTCATGCTGTCTTTTTCCCCTCTTCTTTTTGCAGTGAAGAACACATGGAGTGTTTTGGAGACTCGTGGAGCACTGGTTCAAGGTGGCTATGGGCACAGCAGTGTTTACGACCCTCAGACCCGCTCCATCTACATCCATGGAGGCTACAAAGCCTTCACTGCTAATAAATACGGCTTGGCTGGTGACCTGTACCGATATGATGTGGACGAGAGAAAGTGGTGCGTTGAGCTACTTTACATGATCGAGCTGAACACTAATTGATTGTGAAATACATATTTTTACTTGATATGTTTCAGAAGGATCTATTATGTACTTTTGATTCTTATGTAAGCTCGTTCTCACCACTGAATAATAAAAAGTTGTTACTTTTTATCTCCGAACTTGGTATACAAACTTTCTGAGAGTTGTAAGATGTAAACTCGAAATTTCAAGTTAAGTCAGATTTGCGAGATATGAATTCTGACTTTATTTCATGCAATTATGACTTTATTTCTCAGAATTGCGAGGTATAAGGTCAGAATTATTCTTATCTCAGAATTCTTACTTTATATCACACAACTGCAACTTTTTTTCTCTCTGAATTCTAACTTTATATTACGCAAATCTGTTTATTTCTTAATCTTTATTTCTCAGAAATCTTACAATTCTGACTATAACACACAATTCACACACAATAACTCACACTTTACATCTCACAATTCTGAGAAAAAAATTGTCAGAATTGCGAGTTTGTATCACACAAATCTTCACAGCGAGTTTGTATCACCCAAAAGTTGCTATAACCTTTTTTATTCAGTGGTGGGTATAGGCTTCTATAGATTCCTCAGTAATATAAATTCATATGTAAAAAAATGCACAAATGTCAATATTAATCTAAAATCATATGACCTTTTGTTGTTATTTTATTTTTATTTAGCGCAGTAGAAACTGAAGGTCAAGTTTACATTTGGATTATGTGATGCATTATTTCATTAAGTAATATTGTACATTCCTTCAAATTTTGGCAGATCTAAGTCAGCAAAGCTGTTTTATTAGAAGACCCCAATATATTTCTATACTTTTACTACAATGTGGAGCTACTGTGCATTTACATAACCTTAAAAGACAACTAATTTTTTATTTAGTGATAAATGAAAAAAAAAAGCTTTGGCCAATTTATAAGTGCGGACAATTCATTCATTCATTCATTCATTTTCTTTTCGGCTTAGTCCTTTTATTAATCTGGGGTCGCCACAGCGGAATAAACTGCCAACTTATTTAGCATATGTTTTATACAGCGGATGCCCATCCAGCTGCAACCCATCACTGGGAAACACCGTCACACTCTAATTCACACGCATACTCTATGGACAATTTTAGCTTACCCAATTCACCTATACCACAAGTCTTTGGACTGGGGGGGGAAACCGGAGCAACCGCAGGAAACCCACACGAACGCTGGAAGAACATGGAAACTCAGAAACGCCAACTGACCCAACTGAAGCTCAAACAAGTGACCTTCTTGCTGTGAGGCGACAGCACTATCTACTGCGCACGTTGCCCAAGTGCGGACCAGTGAAATACATTTTTCCACACACTGATTTATTCCTATTGGCCTGACATTGTCCATTGTACAATATACAACTTTTTTTTCTTACTATTTTTGATTATTCATTACTTTCAGTTTCAAGTTATTTCAATGACTAATAGTTTATCTTTGTAAAATGTAAGGGTACCATCAATTTGGTCCACATCCATATAGCCATAAACATGCTTGATTGTATAGCTAGCACTTTAACTATTGTATTGTCATTTGCTATTCCTGCTCATTCTACTCATAGGCAAAATGATTTTAAATCCTAAAACAACTGCAGAAAAAATTGCAGAAAACAAACAAATTTACTTCCGCATTGCAGAATTAAGTCAATACTCCATGGTAAAGTTGTCATTTTGTGAATTTTAAGTCTTGTGTCTCCACAAGATTTCAGTTTAACACATTCCCATCCACTGAATTGTCTCTTTCCCTGTCACTTCACTCCACCAAAAGCTGGTGTGTGGTGAGCACACTGGCGCCGTTGTCCTGTGACTGTTGTCGCATCATCCAAGTGGATGCTGCACACTGGTGGTGGTGGTGTGGTGTGGTGTGGTGTGGAGAGACCCCCTACCTCTCATATGGTTGTGAAGCACTTAGTATTGTCAATTGATTAGTGGTTTGTAACAGACATGTATGTGTTGAATGGATGGATGTCAGAGTATCCAGACCTGCTCTAGGCTTGCACTGTGTAATTCATTGGGTTATGCTGATAAGCATGCTGATAGCAGCTTGATGTTTCTTTGACTATTGACTTTTCCAATACACAAGATAGGCAGCTGCTTGTATTCACAATCATTTTTATATTCAAAACATTATTGTTCCTTCAGTGTGAAAGACTTTAATAAAAGTGGTCACACAAAAGGCTTTCATGCTAAATGATGATGATGATTGGTTAGCTTAATTTGACTCTACTATACAAAAAAAAAGCTATGTAATACAGTATGCTAGTGTGCTCTTCTAAATAAAGTCTGACTTGGGTTCTTCTTGATTTTTCTTCGGTTGACCTGTAGGTTGATTCTGAGGGACAGTGGGTTTTTCCGATACCTCCACACAGCAGTGATAGCTGGCGGGAACATACTAGTGTTTGGAGGGAACACGCACAACGACACCTCAATGAGCCACGGGGCAAAGTGCTTCTCCTCAGACTTCATAGCCTACAACTTGGGTGAGTAGCAAAAATCATCTGTGCCACCAGAATGCTCAAAATGAAGATTATCCATGCAAGTCTGGGCAACAAGAAAGTATGTCAGTAAAAATGTGGACTCACAGTGGATGTCACTTGTATGTGACCATTAAAATGGTGGATGGTCACATGAAAATTCAGATGCATTCAGAACACAGAATTTTATAGAGAGCCAGTTCTAAATTTTCGCTCTACTATACAGGGTTGCTTATCATTATAGATTGGCAGTTTTATTTACCACCAGCAGATCTAGGTAAAAGTACAACCTAATTTTTTAATAATACACCTTTCCCTCGATTATTAGCAGGCTAATGACAGAAAGATTAGAACTTTAGAATTAAAAATCAATTTTATTTATAACATGTACGTGTAACATGTAAGTATGTGTTGATTTAAACAGACTTTCTTTTAAAATCAGGTGGTCATATTTCATAGCATCTGATTTTTATATTCTAAGATTAGTTTTTTAACAGGCATTCAAGTATGTATTATAAAGTCCACCCCTTTAATCTTCTTTTATGTTTATTGTATATTACATCCATCAATGTGATGAAATATCTGTGCTGCATTTTGCAGGACAGTCCTGAAATTGGAAGCTTTGTCCTGCACTCTGTTATGAAAAATACAATGAAAAAATGTTTGGTCAGCCATCTACTTCTAGCAAGTGTGATCAAAAGCTATGTATTCAGAAACCAATGTATTAAAGAAAATAATAATAATAAAAACCTGCCTTAAACAGACACACTGCATAAGGAAAACCTTTGCAAAGTTGCCTGTTCAACAACAACAAAATAAATACATACAATAAATGGTTTTCACGATTCACAGAAACCTAGAAAACTGATTTAATATTTGTTTAAATGGTGAAACAAAGTTTCCTAGTACAGTGGTTCTCAAACTGTGGTACGTGTACCACTAGTGGTACGCGGGCTTCCTTCTAGTGGTACGCGGAGGAATGAAATATGTCATGTACGTGCTATATATATTTCAAAATGGATTAAAAATTATGTATATATTATGCCATATATGATATATAGCCTAAATTTCTGAGGTAATCTGACAAGTTTTTTTAACTGTGCAGAGTTGTAGCTGCTTTACAGGGCCTACTATGCTACTGTATTTCAATACTGCTCATTTTGGTGGTACTTGGAGAGACAATTTTTTTCTAAGGTGGTACTTGATGAAAAACGTTTGAGAACCACTGTCCTTGTATATATCTTATTCAGGCCTAGATCATTGGAATTATGGTGTTATACTGTTCTGCAGCGTTTATTTTACCTCAAAACTGATGTCAAACATGCACTTATCAGCCACTATTATTAGGTACACCTTATTAGTACCAGGTCGGACCCCCTTTTGCCTTCAGAATTGTTTTAATTCTTCGTGGCATAGATTTAACAAGATACTGCAAATATTCCTTTTGGTCCATATTGACATATTAGTCTCATGCAGTTGCTGTAGATTTGTCGGCTGCACATCAATGTTGCGAATTTCCCATTCTACCACATCCCAAAGGTGATCGGGCAATGTGAAGGCCATTTGAGTACAGTGAACTCATTGACATGTGCAAGAAACCAGTCTGAGATGATTCACGCTTTATGACATGGTGCATTATCTTGCTGGAAGTAGCCATCAGAAGATGTGTACACTGTGGTCAATAAGGGATAGACATGGTCAGCAACAATACTCAGGTAGGCTGTGGCGTTGACAAGATTCTCAATTGGTACTAATGTGCCCAAAGTGTGCCAAGAAAAACAAAACCTAAACCATTACACCACCACCAGCCTGAACCATTGATGCAAGGCAGGATGGATCCATGCTTTTATGTTGTTGATGCCAAATTGTGACCATCTGAATGTCGCATCAGAAATTGAGACTCATCAGACCAGGCAACATTTTTCCAATCTTCTATTGTCTAATTTTGGTGAGCCTGTGCAGTTTGTAGCCTCAGTTTTCTGTTCTTAGCTGACAGGCGTGGCACCCAGTGTGGTCTTCTGCTGCTGTAGCCCATCTGCCTCAAGGTTCGACATGTGCTTTCAGAGATTATCTTCTGCCTCAGTTGTAATGAGTGGTTATTTGAGTTACTGTTAGCTTTCTATCAGCTCGAACCAGTCTGGCCATTCTCCTCTGACCTCTGGCCTCAACAATGCATTTGCGCCCCCACCGAAATGCCGCTTACTAGATATTTTCTCTTTTTCTGACCATTCTCTGTAAACCCTAGTGATGGTTGTGCGTAAAAATCCCAGTTGATCTGCACTTGTTGAGACCTTAGACCAGCCTGTCTGGCACCAACAACCATGCCACTTTCAAAGTCACTTAAATCAAACTTCTTCTCTATTCTGATGCTCAGTTTGAACTGCAGCAGATCGTCTTGACCATGTCTACATGCCTAAATGCATTGTGTTGCAGCCATGTGATTGGCTGATTAGACATTTGCATTATTGAGCAGTTGGACAGGTGTACCAAATAAAGTGGCCAGTGAGTGTAGGTTTAAGTACATTTTTGCAATTTCACAAAGATGTTGTCTGAAGCACATATTTCCAGTGTGCCTGCATTGATTTTAATACATTTAATTTTTTATCTACATATTTGATATACTAATTTCATTGTACTAAATAGATAAAGGTCCACAGCAGGAGTGTCAAACTAGTTTCAGCCCTGCTCTAACACACCTATCTGTAGGTTTCAAACAAGCCTAAAGCACTCAAATAGTTTGATCAGGTGTGTTTAAATAAGGTTGGAACTAAACTATGCAGAGTACAGTGGCCCTCCAGGAACACCACAGGTCTACAGTGTCACTCAAACATGAGTTTAGCATCGCAAATAGTAGGCTTACTAATGCTTTATATGGAGAGCTCACCCAAAATATAAAGAAAAAAAATGCTGTTTATAATGTAAAGATGTAGTTGATTTCCAGTAGAACAAACCGGTCACCTAAATTGAAAATTGTCCTGTAATTTATTCAACCTCAAACCATCCTGCAGTAGGTGTATGTCCTTTGTTCATATGAGCACAACTGAAATAAATAAAATATTGTAGCATATACTTTTCATAGCTTTTAAAATGGCAGTGAATATAAAAAGTGGGTCCAGTGGGGCAGTGAATGGTTGAAGCATGGCAGTCGTTTTGAATTTTTTTTTATTATAAGAAAAATGTCCATATTTAAAACTTTATAAACTATTACCACTCTCTTCCAGCAACTGCCACAACCACGTTCTCAAGAGACCTATTATATAATCCTGGAAACGCATACAAGAGTGTGCCATTGTAAGATGGATGGATACTAATGCAAACCTGCAGTTTAGCCAAAACAACTCACTTCTGCTCACAGTGAGAGGCATCACTTCCCATCTCAGCTTCCACTGCTATAGAATAATGGGATAATTTTCTCTCTTGGGGAGCGAACTATTCCCCCTGAAGGCAATTTTAGCTGAAACTGTGTTCCTTGAAGATTCATATAGATCCAAACTCATTTTCTACTTTAATTTTAACATTAAAGAGTCTACATTAATATTTTGGTATTAGCCATGTCTTGGTAATTCAATCTAAGGCAACTTGTCAAATTCTATTCCGCTGACTTACAGCGTCCTCTCACATATGGCATCATATAAAATACCTCTATCTTTCACAATATTGAACAGCCCCGAAGACGCTCACACAGAAAGCGTAATTGGATTTCTGCGCGTAGCGGCAAGCCATTAGAGACTGAAACACACTCATCAGGGGGGCTCTTGCAGGAGGATGCGGGATCTTAAAGCCATTATTTTATGAGTGACACATTTGAGTTTTGTAATCTCCAGGGATCGGAGACATGCCTGTCTGCTGGTATTATCTCGCTTTTCATTTAGATAATGAGGGATGCTATGATGTCAGACCAGACGCATTTGAATAGCGGCTCTTGAATGTGAGAATATGATGTGTGGGTGGTTTCAGAGCGTCTTTGAGAAGTTTGTTGTGCCTGTATAATGCTCAACTATAGCTTCAAACACATCAGAAGTGTCTCTGTGTGTGTGTGTGTGTGTGTGTGTGTGTGTGTGTGTGTGTGTGTGTGTGTGTGTGTGTGTGTGTGTGTGTGTGTGTGTGTGTGTGTGTGTGTGTGTGTGTTCGTTCCTAATTCTATATCAATCCTCTTCTACATTTCTTCCTCTTGTTCTTCTCTTTGGAGACTCAGGCTAGTGGAGTGGTAATCTGTGATTAAGTAAAGGCCTGTCTCAACCCTAAGGTTAATTGCTCTGTCCTTACGAGCTGAACTCAATTATATTGGCCCACACCAGGACACTAAATTCGATTGTCAGAAAGTTTGCCGGCAGAGGGCAGTGACTTGTCACACACACACCACTAATAGCAATCATTTCTCTTTATCCTTCTCTTGCTCCTGCTAGATTAGCCGCTAACTTCTACTTAACATCGTGGGAAGAGATGATTTGCTATTAAAAGAACACTCCGCAGCTTTTTTTGGAGAAATGCTCATTTTGCAAGTCCCCTAATGTTAATCAGCTGAGTTTTACCATTTTTGAATTAATTTAGACGATCTTCATGCGAGATCACTTTCAGTTTAGCTTCAGCGTAAATGTTAAATCAGGTTGGATTATTGGCATCCCACTCAAAAAAAGAAAGAGTTTTGTTAATTTCCCTTTTTAAAGCCAGGCTCTCCTTTTATTCTTTCCATAATAAAAAAAATATATATTTTTAGAGCAACCCATGCTCTTTTGTTATTGATATTTAACTTTAATGGGTAGAACTCTCTGAGATATGAACAAAAGCAAGTGATGTGTCAGAGTTTAATTTAAAAAATCTTGAATGTTTATAAAAATCTTTATGATTATTAAAATATTTTTTTAAATAATTAGTTTAAAAATCTTGAAGGATATTAATTATATAATGTAGTTCCGAAAACTTCCTTCCTCTCTGTTTATTTGTCTGACTGTACGGTGGGTTTCTTTTGACCACCCTCTGTTGTTTTAAAGAATATCACAACGGCGAATGTGTCAATTATAAAAGCCTCGTCTGTTTCGTGAGGTGCGTGTGCAGTCAGTGGAGGTCTGCGATGCGGCGCCAGGCGAAAGTATAAATCAGCCTTTAGGGGCAATATTATTATCAATGTCATTATGTTATTTTCAGATGCTGCAAAATGTTTTTGATTGAGATTCTAATGATCTAATTAGATTCAATGATTTATGCTAAGCTAAGGTAAAAGTGCTCCTGAGATTCTGAATGAATTCAAAAATGGTAAAACTCAGCTGTTTAATTTTAGGGAACTTGTCAAGTGAGCTTATTTCCCACAAAAAGTGGACTGTGTGAGGTTGAGCTCAGAAATTTCAAAGCTTGTCTTTAAAACCATGACGATAAACACAAATGTTAACTTTTATCCTTTATTTTGATATGTGTTACCAAGTTTTAAGTTGCCTTATGGGATATTCTGCACAGGTCATCAATTTATGTATTAAGCCCCAAGATCAAGGTCGGTCTTATGAATATTTATTGGGTAAGATGAGAGAAAATTACTATGCAACGATTAGTCTAGACCAATTAATATTCATGAGCTCACTGCTCTATGTAGTAATGTCTCTAAAATGAGCACGAGCAGTATTTGGTGTTGGAGGACTGAAAGTAGATTGACTTTGTCTGCTTGTTTTGTCTTTTCTAGCTTGTGATGAGTGGACTGTTCTGCCCAATCCAGATCTTTACCATGACGTCAACCGTTTTGGCCACTCAGCTGTGTATCACAATGGGTAATCTAAATGTTTAAGATCAATTTGATACATTAAAATGTCCTGTCTTATTTAAAATAGACATGTTGTTTTAGATGAATTATGGGATATTTGAAAAAAAAAATTTTTGATTAAATTTACTCACATTCATTCATTCATTCATTCATTCATTCATTCATTCACTCAGATAATAATAATAAATTATATTTAAAGTAGAACATAATAATACTGTAAAAAAATCCTAAATTCTTTTACTATATTGTGTTATTTTATATTAGATTTACAGTAAATGGGTTTTTAGTGAATGAAATGGACGAACTTGACACTTAAATTTCTTTTCTTTAAGTTTATTCTAAGGTTCGTTTTGGATTCAGCACTTTTTTTTTAATTCAGTTTATAATCTACTATGAACAACCGAAGTATACTATATTAAATTTTGTAGATTCATAATGTTTCATTTAAATTGTAAAATAAATTGTTATCTTTTTTTTTTCAGCACTGATAATTATAAATCTCTGTTATCTGCGTGTTATTGGTAATATAAATCATTATTGGTACAAAAAAAAAAAACTCTTGGTTGACTATTGGTGTCAACCCAAACTGTTATATGACAAACCTTGTTTCATATGAAAATAATAAGTCAGATTTAATTTAGTTTCTACTTAAATTTAGTTCCTTTTAATTCCCCTACTATTACATGAATGTCATGTTTTTATTGGCAATTTTTCTATTCAAATATACAGTTCACGCAAAAAACACACCCTTTAATATACTTGCAAACTTTTGAGCTACTCTCTTATGTTAAACACAAAAAAACATATTTGGAAAAATGTTATAAACATGTAATGACTGACTTCCATAGTGTTATTTTCCTACTATAGAAGTCAATGGTTACAAGTTGTCAGTTTCAAATCATCTTTTATTTGTGTTTTACAAATGGTAGAAACTCTTAGAAGGTTTGGAATCAATTGAAGGTGAATAAATCGTGATGAAATTTTCTTTTTTGGTTGAACTATCCCTTTCAATGCCTGTCAGAGCATTAATTAAACTAGTAGCTTAGTTTTAAGATATCGACTGTTTATTAGTACTGATAGAGTACACATTCTGCATGATCTTATTTTAGATCCCTAATCCTACCTAATGCCAGAATTCTACCTTAATAACTTTTATTAAGCTGCAAATTAGGAGTTTATTATGCTAAAAGTCATAGTTAATTATATTTGCTTTTAAAATAAAATGTGACCAATTTTATTTTTTCCAGACGTTTGTTTTGTTTTATTGCTAAGTCGAAACAATTTCCTCAGCTAATCGACAGCATGCCACTGGCGCTTACTTTGTATCAAGTCCTGAATAGAGCTTTTTGTTTTAATCCGTTTCTATTTCTGTGATATTTGAGCAGTCACAGCTAATGCGAAATCTAAATTTAAAATGGTCCTGTAATCTCCTTCCGTACTTACGGCTTAGTTGAAGCAAGTCATAAAGCGGAATCATTATCCATAAATAACACCATCCTTTTATTAGTGTTTCGTATTAGCAGCTGAACAAACAGCTCTACATCGATCCACATGCTCAGAATCTCTCCTTTGAGGTTTCTATGCAAGCTCAATGTGATCTGTATTCCTACCCATAAACCCCAGCGTCATCGTCAGTGTCGATTTGACCACCGACTGACCCCTTAGTTGGGAGCAGTGGCACAACACAGCTTTTGCTGTTTGACTTGTCAATCTCGTACGCTCTATTCATCACTCCTCTTTTGTGTTCTTTCCTGCCCTCTTCCTCCTCAGCCTTCATCTCTCCATCCTCTCTCATTCTGAGGTTAATCTGTGTGTCTCTTGTCAGGGTGATGTACGTGTATGGAGGCTTTAACAGCCTGATGCTGGGCGATGTGCTGAGGTTCACCCCGGCGAGCTGTGCTGCTTTCTCCGAGCATCTGGAGTGTGTGACGGCTGTGCCCGGCGTGAAGTGTGTGTGGAACTCTTCTACCTCCACCTGTGTGCCCTGGGACGCAGCGGCGCTCCTCGACATGGAGGCTTTGAGGAACACCTGCAGTCCCAGAGGGTGTAAGTCAAGGGAACAAAGAGGACGTCTGCTTCCTCTGGCTCCTTTACAGCTATTCAGATTTCAAAACACTGCTTAAGTTATAATTGTTGGCGTAGATTCTCTGTCGTTGTATGTGCCGATTAAATTGGATTTTGCTTTTTACGCTCGACTGAATTTGGGTGAGATCTGTAAAAGCTTTTGATCTTGAGCTGTGTTCAGAGTGCAGTCACAAATCAGATTTTTTTTTTTTTGCATATCTGGATTTAATCCTGAAAGACAGCTATTTTTTATTAAATTTTTTTCAAATATTTGATTTGATCCACATTCCAGTCAGATTAGAAGTAATGTTTTGCAATTCCGAATGCAACACGTGACAGTGTAAACCAGTGATGGAAATGATGAAAATGTTCATACACACACAGTATAGTTGGATAAAGAAAGAACGGAAAAAAAGAAAATTTACAGTTGAAGTCAAAATTATTAGACCTCCTGTGATTTTATTTATAGTTTAAAGGGTCACGAAACATCAAAACACATTTTTTGAGCTGTTGACAGTCGTATATGTGTCCCACACTCCTAAAACTCTATTAGGACACATATATTTCACTAAAAAGTGAAAATTGGTTGTTTTTGCGTTATTTCTAGCAAATTCGTACTTCCGGTCTTAAACTAATTTTTGAAGCTGCGTCACGGCCATGAGATCTTAGCGTGTATCCCAGCATGTAGACTGGACGTCTGTACCTAAGAGTGCCTTATCACGTCTCTGAGTGTGCTGCATTAATGCATGAGTAAGGCTTAGTTCAAACCAATCAGCGCGCTCTATTGTGCAACTTCATTAATATGCATGATAGTTACAGTGTTCAGACGGCAGAGACATGCTGTGTTGTGTTGCCAAGCGGGAGAAGAATTGTTTGGAGACACGGGTCGTCAGTGTTGCTTTTATAATTTGCTGCAGTGAAGGTTTTGTTTTTATTTTCCCTCTATGAGAGCGCAGCTGGACTCACGTGTAGTTTAAAGTGCACGCGACGCGCCATAGAAATACGTGTCTAAGGAACATTGTTTACCCGAGAGCTTTTGTCATCTGGAAATGGTGAAATCCGGATTTATATTATAATTTATTTTTCTTTATTTATTAATTTTTTTTCCCAAAATTTTCTAAATTATGTTTTATGCTGCGCTCACACCAGATGTGGATGAAATGTCAAGTGCGAGTGATTTCCTTGTTTAGTCAATGCAAATAGACATCAAATAGACGCAAATAGACATCCTGCAGCGTCTGACAAGTTCATCAAACTTGGCTCGGCTCAGTTGGAAGCACCGCTAAAAGCCTCCATCATCAAAGTACACTTTCTAGAGGAGTTTATGAATGTTTATGTGCTGCGTGCACCTCCTAAAGGATTTAGTGGACTCAAGACATGTCGGCTTACGAATCTACACTGTTTTTCAACATTACTAAATTACATAATGCACAGCTATTATCCCAATAAAATCCATTTTTATTTGGGCTAGAATAAAAACAGTTTTTCATTTAAAAAAAAAAAAAAAAAAACTTTCTGTTAAACAGAAATTAGGGAAAAATATTCAGAGGGCCTAATGATTAAGGAGGGCTAATAATTTAGACTTTAACTGTTTATAGAGGGAGATTAATGGAAACTAAAAAATAGATTTTCCCTGATTTTTCATGAACAAAAAAGTATAACAATCCAATGTCTGGAATAGTGCGGCGCTATCTTAGAAACAATCTGACTTTGTGTTGTTTTGTTTTTCGATAATATATATTGCGATATGAATAAAATTTTGTTCAGATGTCTTGAATAGCTCTATTTGGAAAGAAGTTATCCATTTAGATTGATTGGGTGGACTTTGTAAGTGTGTAAATCCTGTAAAAAATAATAATAAACATATTGCAAGCAAAACATATTACAATAGAGCAACAAAAATGTAAAATAAACACTGCTTTATTGCTTTCCATAAAGTCTGTTTGTCTTCCGAACAGTATTCAGGTACAGAAATAGAATAACGTAATGTAAAATATTCTTTATAGTCTTCATTGTCTTAATAATTTAGTAAAAATTGTCTTCATTAATGATACAAATGTATTTTTTTGCTCACTGGGGTGAGCAAAACTATTATGCTTAAAAATGTATTAAAAAATTCTGATTTAACTGCATTTCTTAAGGTGCTTTTGACTTGAAATTGTCACCGGATGTCAGTTATAACCAACGTTATCCATACATAGAAGGAAAAAAAACTAATTAGTTATGTGTAATGAAATGAAGCGTAACTCTACATTACTATACAATTATCTCTCAGAGATTAATTATGTGGGTTTTGTTATCTTAAGAGGTGTGTTATGCCCTGTTATGCCCAGATACTGGCACGCACCACCAGCTGTTTTATTTTACCCAGACAACTGGCATAAAGAGTGCAAAAGACAGAGACGATTTGCCCACAATGCTATTTAAATTTAGTTAAGCTATTTGGTAATAAGAGAAACACAATATTCACAAACACAAGCAATGAGATTTAGATTTTTCTGAGGATCCCCAGAGTTGGCTCAGAAATTCTGGTCTAATTATTCATTTATTTTCCTTTGGCTTAGTCCCTTTATTCATCAGGGGTTGCCACAGCGGAATGAACCACCAACTCCTCTAGCATATGTTTCACATTGTGGATGCGCTTTCAGCTGCAACCCAGTACTTGGATACATCCATACACACTCATTCACACACGTACACTTGGGCCAATGTAGTTTATTTAATTTACCTATAGCGCATGTCTTTGGACTGGGGGCAAAACCAGAGCACCAAGAGGAAGCCCACGCCAACACAGGAAGAACATGCAAACTTCACACAGAAAAGCCAACTAACCCAGCCGGGGCTCGAACCAGTGATATACTTACTGTGAGGCGACAGTGCTAACCACAGAGCCATCGTGTCGCTCCAATTCTGGTATCTTTGCTGTTTAATTCTTTATTGAAATTCAATTCTCTATTTTATTACAGTCCAGCTAACAAAAAGCAACTGCTGCAAATAACCAGTCCCGTCTGAACAGGTGTAAATGACCTGTCGGATTCAGTTAATTACAACAGATTCAACTAAATGCCCCACTAAATGCACATTTGCCACACCACATGCATTGTTGTGTAGCTGTTAAACTGTGTGTGCCTTCCAGATGCAGATGGAGAGAAGTGTGAGCAGTATTCCGACTGCTACAGCTGTACAGCCAACACCAACAGCTGCCAGTGGTGCTCTACGCTCTGTGTGTCCAGTCACAGTAACTGCACCAGTTCTCCAGTAAGTCTGCGCTTTCATTATGCCATAACAACTTACAGATGAGTTTCTTTTCAGTTTATGAATTCATAAATAATGTAACTGTGCTCTAAATGTCTGTAGGGAGGGATAATGGAGTACGAGGCCTGTCCAAAGGATAACCCCTCCTCTGTGTGCAGTAAAAGGACCAGCTGTAAAAGTTGTGCCACAGATCAGAACTGCCAGTGGGAGACCAGGAATCAAGAGTGCACCACCCTGCCTGGTAACAAACGCGAACAAACTTTTGCTGGAATTTGTGTAAATGATTGAAGCATAGCAAAGTATAATCCTGTTTAATATCTCTGGGGCAAAATAATTATTATCGCTATTTTTATCGTTATTGTTTTTTAAAGGGATAGTTCACACAGAAATTTAAATTCTGTCTTATTTAACTCATCATGCACTAATTCAGTTCAATTCATCTTTATTTCCTTAGCGCTTTTACAATGTAGATTGTGTCAAAGCAGCTTAACATACAAGTTCTAGTAAATTAAAAATTGTATCAGTCCAGTTTTCAGAGTTGACGTTCAGTTTAGTTCAGTTTAGTGTGATGCTGAAAGTTCAAAAACTGTGGAGCAGATCCATCGATGCACAGCTCCACAAGTCCCAAACCAAGCAAGTAGGGAAGAACAAACTTAACAATTGATGAAAACGAAGGAAAACCTTGAGAGAAACCAGGCTCTGTTGGGCACGGCCATTTTTCCTCTGGGCAAATTTCTAGCACAGAGCTGCAGTCTAGGCGCGGAAGGCTGGAGAACGCTGGATGTCTGTCTTGGAGAAGCTGCTGGTATGAGTAAAGGCTGATTTATACTTCTGTGTCAAGAGCGGTGCAACCTACGTTAAACCTAGCAGTGGCCGTCGGCGTTGCTGACGTGCACCTCTCAAAACATTTAACCACACGTCGCAACGATGCATAGCGCAAACTCTGTGATTGGTTGGCTTGGTAGCGCTAACAATTGTGAACAGGACTGAGAGTCGCGCGAGGCAGTTGGGGCGACTGTTTATGCATGTCGACAGTTTACAAGGAGCTCCGGATGGAGACTGTTGCTTTGTGTTTACCTTATGGTTTAAGTTGTTGCAAGTCAGCCGGTTCCTGCCTCAAAATGAGCGAGTTTGAGCTACTCGTACATTAAGGAAGCGTTCAGAAAAAACAAAACACCAGCGAAGAAACTCAGGGAACCTTAAACACCTCACTGTCAACTAGCGTTTTGGAAGTGTACAGGAACACAGCGCAGATGTATGAATGCATAGCTACGCGCGATCACTTGACACAGAAATATAAACCAGGCTTAAGTCGCCACGGATGTTCAGCCTGGGCCATGGGATCAATGCAGAGACTCGTCTGTCACTGTGTTTTTCAGAAATCAGTCTCATGCTCTCTGCTCCTCCATGACCACCACAGCATCAGCTCAGGATACGGCCTGGTCCAGGATTGTGGAGACCTCTATTGTTCTCTGTGGTTGGCAACATCTCTTTGTATGTGTTGTCCTTGAAGTCCTCTATGGTTGGCATCATCTCTTCATAGGTCTTGGGTCAGATCAATGGTGCTACATAATCTCTAGAGGCCTCGGAATGAGTAACCCCAGGTGGAAAAGAAAAGAAAACAAAAATAATTAGCAAACAGTTATTTAAAGTGTTTTATTTTCTTTCAGTTTTTGTAAGAATATTAGAAAAGCATTTTACTTAATTATTTACACAATTGACTGTTTTTGATTACTGCTATAGATGTTGATGTCTACATTTTTTTCAACATTCTACAAAATGTCTTGTTTTCTGTTCAACAAAAAAAAAAAGAAATTCATAAAAGTTTAATCACTTGAGTGAGAGTACATGGTGAAGACATTTAATTTTTTGGGTGAACTATGCCTTTAATTTAGTTTTTAAAACCTTGGGTTATTACAATTTCCGTGCTTTGAGTGCCATTCCCATCGAAATTTGCTTCAATGCCAAGGCCAGTGCTGTACGTTAATCTAATCCCACATAACTGTGTAATGCTTTTGTTTTTAGGGAATATCTGCGGGGAGAGTTGGCACCTGGTGGGGAACTCGTGTTTGAAATTGATGACCGCTAAGGACTCGTATGACAATGCTAAGCTGGTGTGTCGAAATCAACAGGCGGTGCTGGCATCCCTCACCACACAGAAGAAAGTCCAATTCGTCCTCAAAGAGATGCACAACCGATCATTGCAGGTGAGTTTGATGTAGTATAGTCAAAAGAATCAGAATTTTGATACGAGTCGATACTGAAATATTTTAAAAGATGCAAAATCACTTTTCTGCAGTATTGTTGACAACCTCCTCTCTCTATGACATGTCTATGACTCCTGTCATATACTCAATCACATATAATGATGCTGTGAATTCCTTGCATATTTCAGATTTTCGTCGTTTTCTAGGAAGCAAATGCAAAATTAGGAAGAGAATTAATACTTGTGCCAATTTTTTTCTTTCTTTTATTTTTTTACATGTCCTTGTGCCTGAATGGATGGTTAAATATACAGTATACCAAATAAAATCAATGTGGTCATCTTCAAAATGCTGTCAGTTATGTTTAAAGTGAAAGTAAAATATTTGAAGAAATTAAACCTACACCTTATGTAATTGTTAGCATTAATCGACAGCAAAAGACAAACTCTTACGATTGGTAATTTTAGTTCAGTCAAAAATGAAAATTGCTATTAATTACTCTACCTCATTTCATTCCAAACCATCTTTGTTCTTTTTCAGAACCCAAATTAAGATATTTTAGTTGAAATCTTAGAGCTTCCTTATCCTCTATAAACGGCAAGGTTCTCGACTTGTTCAGTTAAAGAAAGGTACCAGACAACATCCACAATACAGACCATGTGTCTTCAGTTGTTCAACCAGAAAATTATCAAGCTAAAAGAATCATTTTGTCGCAAGACTTTATTCAAGTTTAGTCCCAATCCCAATTCTTTATTTGTGGTTCTGAAAAATCTTTGTTCAAAGATTTTGCTTAGCTCTACGCCTTCAAGCTAAAGAGAATTGGGACACCCCTACCCCTTTATGGGAATACGCAAAACGAGGGATAGAGGTAAGGGGAAGGGCTAAGGGATAGAATTAGGAGTGGGCCTTATTCTCTTCAGTGTCAGTATAGGGCGCACCATCATGTATCACACAAATTTATTTAACAGTTTCGTCTCCTCACTGTCAGTATAGGGCACACTTTTGTGTCGCATGACTTATCTCTTCAGTGTCAGTATAAGGCGCACTTTTATGTGTCACAAATTTATTTAACAGTTTCGTCTCCCCAGTGTTTGTATAGGGCACACCTTTGTGTCGCACAGCTTTATTCAACGGGTTAGTCTCTTCATTCTCAGTACAGGGCGCACCTTTGTGTTGCACGACCTTTATTCAACAGTTTAGGCCCAATCCCAGTTCTACCCCTTAGCCCTTCCTCTTCTACCCCTCATTTTGCACGTTCCTGTGAATAGGTAGGAGTATTCCAATTCTCTTTAGTTTGAAGGCGTAGGGGTAAGGGGAAGGGGCCCTTCGAACTGACATTTGTCTGGACCACAATCTAAACCAAAGGGTAAGGAAATTTCCCAGAATACACCAGCTACAACGGCAGGATAGCTGCACCCGGAAGTAAAGAGATGCACAAATTAGTATTTTTTTGGGTCATTACTACCAATTTCTACAACAAACAAACAAACACGTTTTAATATATTTATAACCGCGTTCGTGTTTTACCATCATGCTTTTAAAAAACCCGCTAAAATAAAAAACGCAAAATTTTGCTATCTATAATCCATAATATTAACTCCTGCACAGCAGCCCCACAGCATTCTGACACTCAGTGACACTGGAATACCCTGTCAGAAAAGTCTAAGGGCTGGGAATGAGCTTTTTACAGTGTCTGTTATAATGTTAATGTTGTTTTTTGTGTGCTAACATAGATGATTATGGCCATGGTGTAAATGCGCAGTACAGTTACGATCTTTTTGCCACATTTTATCGTTATGGTAACATAATATATGCCTTCAGTTATTTCTTAAAAATAAATACCAAAAAAAAAAACACAATTGGAATAACTACAGCAGTCACGATCGTCTGATCTCATGAAGCAAGAGATCGTGATGACATATGACGTGTGCAGGTACTACAGTGCTGTACCATTTCTTAGGGGTAAATTTTAAAGCCCTTTGAAGGGGTAGAGGTACAAAAATAGAATTGGGATTGGGCCTTAGTCTCTTCAGTATAGGACGCACCTTTATGTGTTGCATAACTTTATGCAACAGTTCAGTCTTCCCAATGTCAGCCTAGGCCATAGAACATGCCTTTATGTGTCACATTTGCCCACATTTTGACGTGTTACCTCTGACGTATTGGTGCTTTTATATCAAATAGAGGAAATCTATGAGAAAACTAATGCTCATGAATATAGGCATTATACTGACACTGAGGAAAATACTTTGCAACTGTTGGTCTTTATAACGTGTGTCTTTATGCCGTTTTTATCTGTGAGTAAAGCAGCATTAGATGTACAGTTAGTCAGATCAAACTTGAAACTGAATTGAATATGAATTGTTCCGTGTGCTCTAGTCTAAAGCAGTGATCACTCCGTGGGTCGGCCTGAGGAAGATCAATGTGTCGTATTGGTGTTGGGAGGATATGTCGCCCTTCACCAACTCCACTCTGCAGTGGCTGCCCGGTGAACCCAGCGACGCAGGGTTTTGTGGGTATTTGGCTGAACCCACTTTCAACGGACTGAAGGCGGCGACCTGTGTCAACTCTGTCAATGGGAGCCTGTGTGAACGACCCAGTGAGTAACATTTGCATACAGAAACACGCATATACTGAATATTTTCTTTTTTTGTTGTGTTTTTGTTTTGTATTTTTTTGCTTTGTGTTTTGTGGTATTTGTTTTGGTGTTTTGTATGTTTTGTTTTTTGTGTTATTTGTTTTGTTTTGATTAGTTTTTTGTGTTTTATGTTTGTTTTGTATGTTTTGTTTTTTATATTCTTTGCTTTGTTTGTTTTGTGTTGTGTTTTTTCGCTTTTTTTATTTGTTTTGTTTTGGTTGAATGTTTTGTATTTTAGTTTTTTTGTTTAGTTTTTTCTTTGTTTTTTGTTTTGCTTTGTTTGGTTTTTTGTTGTGTTTTTGTTTTGTTGAGATTTGTGATTTTTTTTGCTTTGGGTTTTTTGTTTTGAGATTTGTGGTTTTATTTTTTGATTTGTGCTGTGTTTTTGTTTGTTTTGTTTTTTGCTTTGTATTTTGTTGTATATTTTTTGTTTTGTTTTATTGAGGTTTGTGATTTTTGTCTTGCGTTTTTTGTTTTGTGATTTGTTATTGTTTTTTTATTTCTTTGTTGTTTTGTTTTGTATTTTATTTTCCACTTTCCACATCTAATATTGTATTGTACTGGAAATATATGATTAATTAATTAATATATTACTTGCTGTGATCAGATAATTATTGTAATTATAATACAATTATGATAACATATATATAGTTATTACATTAATAAATATAAAAATACTAATTTAATTAAATAAAATTCTGTATGACCTATTTCTAAAAAACATTTTTGTGTGTATTGCTCATTGAATCTCTTTAACGTTTGTGTTATTGTGCAGCGAACCACAGTGTGAAGCAGTGCCGGACCCCCTGTGCACTGCGCTCATCCTGCAGTGAATGTACCAGTGGGAGCTCTGAGTGCATGTGGTGCAGTAACATGAGGCAGTGTGTCGACTCCAACGCTTATGTGCCCTCCTTCCCCTATGGCCAGTGCATGGAGTGGTACACTATGAACAGCTGCCCACGTACGTATGCCGGCGAAATGATTTTAAATCAAAGTATTATCTGTAATTTATTCAAATAGCAATATCAGTGACAATAATTTTTTTTTATCCACTGTGAAATAAAAAAAAAACCTCCTGTAGGGTAAATCTGTGCATGATCTAGAGATTAGAATCTGATTAAACAAATAAACACACTGTTGTGACTAGGGCTGCACAATATTTTGTTATAGCATCGATTTTGTATAGATATGCAATTTGATTTGTAAAATTATTGCAGAGTTTAACCCTAATGGAGTGAAATTGTATCATTTGCATGTTTTTTAGGCCTGGGAGAGATTTAAGTATTCATTTTACCGGTTGGAAGTTTAACAAAGGATAATTGTATTAAGTTATTTAAACAAAAACATTGCAGTGTAATTTTAACATTGAAAAAGCCTAACCTAATACCTAAGCAACCTTAATATCTATTAATAAGAACCAAATTAGAAGAAACAGAAGTCGTAGTTAATCATTGACCAATAGCGGGAAGTGAGTCTTAAAATAAAGTGTGACTATAAATTCTTTCCAAGTAGTGCTATTCAACCATTTGATGACATTGTATGGATGCATTATATCGCAATACATATCACAGAAAAACAAAATATTGCAATGTCAGATTTTTTTCAATATCTTGCAGCCCTAGTTGTGACCATAGAATATATGTTTTTTCTGTGTTTTTCAGGTTATCCAAGCTATTTCTATAAGAATAAAGGTCACGATTTACAATAAGCTTTCATTAGTTAATGTGTTCACTAACATGAACTAGTAATGAACAATACTTTCATGACATTTATTAATCATAGGTCAACATTTTTTACTAATGCATTATTAAAAGCCAAATTGATGCTTGTTGATGCACAGTGAGTTAGCATTTAATAACAGTGAAAAACTTTATTATGATTAACTAACATTAACAAAGATGCATAAATACTGTAATAAATATATTATTCAATAACTTATAAATTAACAAAAATCTCATATGTCATCTCATATTCTGATAACAATATATATCATGATGTAATGCTTCTTCTGTATATTCAATTAATTAATAGTTTATATACATTGACCACATGTAAATAACAATTTCTTTAATAGTTAGAACTTCAGGGCAAATGTTTGATTAAGATTGTATATAATGTATGGAATATAAAACACAAAACAAATGATTACAGGCTTAGCATAAAATAAATGGAAGAATAAAAAAATATCTGGAAAAAAAAAAAAATGTGAAAATGTGTTCGTGTCTATCCTCTTGTTAAGTTGTGACGTATCGGTGACGTTTAAAATACTGTTTCTGGGTCCAAGCCGCTACTCATTTGAATTAAGAAAATATATGTTTATGACCACTTTTTAGTCATATCATACATTGAAATAAATTTTATGTAAAATCATCATTTGATGAGCCTCCCCGTATAGTTTGATGTGGCGCTTGGACCCAGAAGCTTCGCATGATGTCACGCATGAGTTAGATTCCGGGTTTTAAGTTTAAAAATTTTTTTGGCTGATCCTTTCACTCTTTCTGCTCCCTCAATATTTGTGATTTCCTGTTAATACTCTCCACTGTTTTATCCATTAAAAGGTTGAAAACCCCTATAAATAAATATGTATAAAGAAATAATAAAAAAAAATGATACAAATAAATGGAAAATGTAAACATTGTACTACATTGCAACTTTCTCACAATGCTGTTATTCATGTTTATGTCTGCATTCCCGTAATGACATGTAATATTGCGCTCATATAAATTACAAAAAAGTATTACAGTAAACAGTGTATTTTGCAACACCACAGTATAAAAGACTTTTTATATTGTTCATTCATTCAATCATTCATTCATTTTCCTTCAGCTTAGTCCCTGATTTGTCAGGGGTCGCCACAGCAGAATGAACCCCCAACTACAGTGTTATGTGCTTTACGCAGCAGATGCCCTTCAAGCCGCAACCCAGTACTAAGAAATAGATTGTTCATATGATACACATAGTCATATTTCCCAGCTCTTGTGTGATTGACCTACAGTGCATCTGGAAAGTATTCATATTGCTTCACTTTTTCCACAATTTTTATGTTACAGCCTTATTCCAAAATGGATTTAAATTAATTTCCTCAAAATCCTACATACACACAATACCCCATAATGACAATGTGAAAAAATATTTTTTGAAATTGTTGCAAATTTATTAACAATAAACCAAATAATAACCTGAAAATCACATGTACATAAGTATTGATAGCCTTTGCCGTGAAGCTCTAAATTGAGCTCAAGAACTTTCTGTTTCCACTGATCATTCTTAAGATGTCCCAGCAGCTTATTTAGAGTTCCCTGTGGTAAATTGAGTTGATTGGACATGATTTGAAAAGGCATACACCTGTCTGTATAAGGTCCCAGGGTTGACAGTGCATGTCAAAGCACAAACCAAACATAAAGACAAAGGAATTGTCTGTAGACATCCATGACAGGATTGTCTCGAGGCACAAGGCTGGGGAAGGTTACAGAAAAATGTCTGCTGCTCTGAAAGGTCCATTGAGCACAGTGGCCTCCATCATCCGTAAGTGGAAGATGTTTGGAACCACCAAGACTCTACCTAGAGCTGGTTGCCTATCTAAGCTGAGTGATCGAGGAGAAGGGCCTTAGTCAGGGAGGTGATCAATAACCTGATGGCCACTCTGTCTGAGCTCCAGCAATATTCTGTGGAGAGAGGAGAACCTTACAGGACAACCATTTGTGCAGCAATCCACTAATCAGGCTTGTATGGTAGAGTGGCCAGACAAAAGCCATTCCCCGCCTGGAATCTGAAGGACTCTCAGACCATAAGAAAGTAAACTCTCTGGTCTGATGAGGCTAAAATTGAACTCGTTGGAGTGAATGCCAGGCGTTACGTTTGGAGAAAACCAGGCACCGCTCATCACCAGGCTAATACTATCCCCACAGGGAAGCATGGTGGTGGCAACATCATCCTGTGGGGATGTTTTTCATTGGCAGGAACTGAAAAACTAGTCAGGATAGAGGGAAAGATGAATGCAGCAATGTACAGAGACATCCTGATTCACTACTTGCTTAAGAGTGCTCTTGACCTCAGACTGGGGCGACGGTTAATTTTCCAGCATGACAATAACCCAAAGTACACTGCCAAAATATCAATGGAGTGGCTTCACAACAACTCTGTGAATGTCATAGAGTGGACAGAGCCCAGATCTAAATTCCATTGAACACCTCTAGAGAGATCTGTAAATGGTTGTACACCATCGCTTCCCATCCAACCTGATAGAGCTTGAGAGGTACTACAAAGATTAATATGCAAAAATTCCGACAGACATGCCAGGCATGCCATGATTGTGGCATCATACTTGACTCTGTAATTGCTGTCAAAGGTGCATCAACAAAATATTAAGCAAAGGCTTTAAATACTTATGTACATGTGATTTTCTTTTTTAGTTTTTTTTCTTCTTCTTTTTTTTATATAAATTTGCTACAATTTTGTTTTTTACATTGTCTTTATGAGTTATTGTGTGTAGAATGTTGAGGAAATAAATTAATTTAATCTATTTTGCAATAACAAAAAAAAATGTGTAAAAAGTGAAGCGCTATGAATACTTTCCGGATGCACAGTATCAGGATAAAGTATGCCAAGGAGCCCTATAGTAAGATCATTTAATGTCTGCCTCTCATTCAGAACAGTCAAGCTGTTTTCTTTTTGTAAATGGAAGACTGAACAATACCACATCGTTTGTTTATTGACTCATAATGTATAAAGTCTTTACAACTGACATAAAATCCATTCAGATTAATAGAAAGTCAAAGGCTAAGTTTGAGGTTGTTGCACTGCATAAAATGTTTGTTAAGTGAATGTGTGTGTGTGTGTTTACCACAGCGGAAAACTGTTCTGGTTACAAGACGTGTGGCCACTGTTTGGACCAGCCTGGATGTGGGTGGTGCACTGACCCCAGTAATACGGGCCGGGGTCAATGTATAGAGGGCTCTTACCGGGGTCCAGTCCAGACCCTGTTTCATGCCCCGTCCACTTCAGGACCTTCCATCCTTCCTGCTCCTCAGCCAATGCTGAACGTGAGCTTGTGCCCAGTGGAGGGCAACTACAACTGGTCCTTCATCCAGTGCCCAGGTGAAGCTCATGTCATTTCTTTATGAAATGAATTAATGTTTAGTGAAAATTTATTTGAACTTTGACTTTAAATCAAGTTTTAAGCTTTTTATTTAACTGCTTATCTAATTGTTTATTTAAAATAATATATATACACATATATATATATATATATATATATATATATATATATATATATATATATATATACACACACATATATATATATATATATATATATATATATATATATATATATATATATATATATATATATATATATATATATATATATTTATATATATATATATATATGTATATATATATATATATATATATGTAATGTAATGTGTATTTATATAGCGCATTTATTGTGTATGGCCATACACCCAAAGCGCTTTACAATCATGAGGGGGGTCTCTCCACACCACCACCAGTGTGCAGCATCCACTTGTATGATGCGACGGCTGCCACACGACAACGGCGCCAGTGCGCTCACCACACACCAGCTATTTGTGGAGAGGAGAGACAGTGATAAAGCCAATTCAGTGGAAGGGGATATATATATAGTGTATATATATATATATATATATATATATATATATATACACTATATATATATATATATATATATATATATATATATATATATATATATATATATATATATATATATATATATATATATATATATATATATATATATGTTATTGGATTTTCGCAATAATAAAGACAATACATCTTCAAAAGACTCGCAGAGAGTAATATCAACACAAAACAATGAAGAGGAAATGGGAAAAAGAAAAGAAAAGCTCACATTGTTTATATAAAACAGGACTACCCTAATTAAAACAGATCAGAAAAAGGCTAAAAACATTGCTTATTTGTCAGATTGCAATACAGTTACAATATTCCTTTTAGCATGATATGACAGACTAGGTTCCAAATAATCCATATATGGACCTTGAATTTTTTCTTTTTTGTTTTTCTTTTTGTGTAAAACATAGGTAAGATGTTCCAAGGGAATTAACTCAAACACAAACTAATCTTGTGCCAACCTTTAACTGATGGAGATTTATCACTAATCCAATTGAGTAAAATATTATTTCTGGCGGCAAAGGTTAATATACATTACAATTTAAAATATGTTTTTATTTTGTTTAACAGAAGAAAAGAAACTCGTTGTAGTTTCGCAATAGACTTTAAAATAGAGTTTTTGTCTATTAAGTTTCAGTATAATAACTAATTAACGCTACATTTAATTAAATTTTTACAATTTAAATTGTTCAAAATAGCATGTTAAATGAACAAAGTTCCTTTTAAAGTTAAAAAAGTCAAAAATAGATTGAACAATGCAAATAAGATACAAATAAAATCAAAAACATTCCAAACTACAGTATATCACAGTAAAACTGTATTTCATATTATTTTTATGATATTAAAAATTGTTTTGTCTTTGACCCAGCAACTTGTATTTCAATTTAACTTGTGTTTTATGATAAGTTTATAATGTTTTATATGTAACTTCAATGTTTAATGAGTGTTTTTGTCTCTGATGCAGCGTGTCAGTGTAATGGCCACAGCTCGTGTGTGAATGAAAGTGTGTGTGAGAGATGTGAGGATCTCACCACGGGCAAACAGTGTGAGAGCTGCATCTCCGGTTATTATGGCGACCCCACAAACGGAGGCAGCTGTCAGCGTAAGTCTCCTTCCAAAATACAGTAGACTTTTGTTGGCTGTTTGATAAGATCTCACTGTGTGTTGCTTCTTTGCAGCCTGTAAGTGCAATGGTCACGCAAGCATGTGCAACTCCAACAATGGCAAGTGTTTCTGTACCACCAAGGGCATCAAAGGAGACCGCTGCCATGTGTAAGTGCACACACACAGACACACTACAACTGCAGTGTGTATACTTTACAAAACTGTGTTTTGCTGTACAGTACAGTCTGTGCCAAAGTGCTAATTCACAGCTTCTGTGCACCAAATAAAAAAATATTTTTATTTTAGTTTAATTATAGGTTAACTGAGTTGTTTGTTGTCTTTTCACATTGAACTTAATGTGAGGAGTCAACATACAATGACGGGAGAACATTAAAGGAAGAAAATCATTTAAAAAAAAATCAACTTCTTAGTATCTATCCTAGTATTCATATCTTTAGTGCACTTTTGTGGTGTGTAGGGTCTGTGGCTTTTTTCAATGTTATTAAATTTTGTTAAATAAACTTTTTACCTATGCTGCAGGTAAATGTCTTCTTTACAGTTACTGAGTAAATGTTAAAGCATTGAAATATATTAAATGCTTTCAATAGTAATAGTTTAACAGTTAAAATAAATAGTAAATGTTAAAGTGAAATGTATTAATGTGTATTTTTATATTATTGTCTTCCCTCTGCACATACACTGTAAAAATACAGGGTTCCGTAAAATTTATTCATGTATTCACAAATTCATTCATAAAACTTGGCAAATTTAAATGGATTGAACATAAAACAATTAAGTTGTTCCTAAAAAATCTCAAGAATTGTGTTATTTCAGCTCATTTTATAAAAGTAGTTTGACAAGCTGCAAACATATTGTTGCATTGAGTGTACTTCCTAACAGCACTTATATCATTTAATCATATTTATACATTTATTTCTACATTTAAATTGAAAACATTTTTCAGACAGTGAATTTATTAGACCATTATTTAATAAAAATGATCAGGTGCCTTTTCATTAGATGTTTTCACTTTAACAAGCTTTTAAAGGGGCCTCATGTATCAAAGCTGCGTACGTACAAAAATTTCAGGGCAGCTCATACGGCAGGTTTCAGGCTCACGTTTGGATTTACTAATGATGAATCGAATGGAAGAATGTTGGTTGGTCCGCCAACTTCATGCCGGGCGTACGTGCATTTCTTGTATGTGCTTGTTTTATTTCCATTGGCGACTCCTAGAGGCAATTGTGTTAACTTGCACACTACAAAGTATCTTTGAGCCGTGCAATGGCAGCTGTATAGGATGAGATCATCTGCATGTCTAGTTGGTATATAAGGTTTCCATACCATACAGTTGACCAGCTAAACATCAAAGCACAATTTGCAGCGATCGCCAATTCTCACCCAATCTAATCCGAGCGATCTACTGCACACACATTGCTACAGTAGGTGAGAGTTCAAAGTGACTATTACCGCCGCGTCATATACCGCCGCCGTTTGAAATAGGAGCCGCTTTGTTTTTAGTGTATGACCGCAGTTTGTGAATGAGCCGCCAGGGGGCGCAAAGGGACGGGATGCAAACCGACAGAAATAGCCCACACAGCAGCCTTAAATATGCTATTGTGCTTGTAAATGAGATTAAACAATAAGTCAAAGCCTTATAATTCCTTTATTAATCATTTAAAATTTGTTAACACGATTTATTGTTATTCTAAACTTTTTAAGTGCAAAGAGGATTCTTTTTGAAAAATAGAATTGAAGAAGTTAAAGACAACTAATATGAAAGTACAAATATTCTAAGTATGCCTAAATTAAAAAATTAAAGCAGTCTTTTAGCCTAAATGTAAAGAGATTTTCAGTGTTTGCTATTTTGGTAGGACTAACACAAGACCTTTTCATTTATGTTTTAATTTACCTTTTTATTTACATTTTCGTTGTTGATTATATTTTACTATTTAATTTTATGTCACAATTATTGTACATAATAATAAATAAACGAATAATGAAAAATAATAAAAATAGGCCTTATGTATTTAAGGACATGTGGTGAAACACTAAGAAACGGTCAGGCGCATGGTCTAAAGAGCTTAAGTTGAATACTGCTTCATAAAATAATTTTGCCGCAGGACATATCTCGCAGGTTTATTTTTAATAATTTTCAGTTATTTTTTTTGTTTCAAAACAACAATGTTCTCTTTAAAGTTCTCTTTAAAGTATAACTTTTGTTTTGTTTTTTTACTTAATGGCCCAGTATGTTTTGTATTTTAATTTCAATTTCAGTCACCTTGCATATGCATTTGAAATATAATGCGCGCATATCCGCGGAAAGAAAAAAAAACTGTCAAAGGTTAGAGCTAATTCATCAAAATTAGCTATATTAAAATACAGCATGTAAGTTAATACAGGCAGAGTGTGAACAAACTCAAGGCTTAGATATGCGCTTGCCTTTTAATGCATTTAAAAAGATTTGCGGCCTTTTTAGGCTACAGGCGACTATGGTGTATAATGTTTCTTTTATTATTTTTTATTTTGTATGGTAAAGAACAATGCACTGTATGTTCTTAATATAAACTTAGGTTAAAATTTACTATTGATAAACGTGACCTACCTCAATCAGATCACTTAAAGTATAATAAAATAATGTTAACGTCAATGTTCTTCTTTAAAGTAAAATTGTTGTTTTGTTTTTTTACTTAATGGATCAGTATGTTTTGTATTTTAATTTTAATTTCAGTCAACTTACATATGCATATGAAATATAGGCTAATGCGCGCATAACCGCGAAAAAACAAGAAAAAGCTGTCAAAGGTTTGGCCAGTGAGTTTTTGTCTAATAAATGATATATATATATATATATATATATATATATATATATATATATATATATATATATATATATATATATATATATAATTTTTTTTTTTTTTTTTTTTTTTTTTTACTTTAAAACTTTAAAACAGATTGCTATTTTTCTAATGACATATGATTTAATAAATTTGTATTTTAAAAATTTCTCTTGTTTGAATTTTTTAACTGCACTTTTTAGGAAATATTTTAGTACATCAAAAAGTGTGGTTATAATGACATCTGACTGGCTAATCCAGCAAAAAAGTCACTAAAATGTAGTATTTAAATCTCATAGTTAAATGGAAACTGAGGCGTATAACTGCAAAAAGGTCCACTTGAAAAAAAAGAACCATCCCTTTCACCAGGCTGGCAACGGGCCTCATGTGTGCGCATGAGTCGATATGTTGCCTGTTTTATGTTTTATAGTCTACATGCTACTCTTATGTATAATAATGTTGTTATTGTTGTTTTGTCTGGTCGGGAATCTAATCGGGAAAAAACAGTCATACAGTTGGTTAAGAGGATATATTTATTCTGAGGAAAAAAAGCAAATAGAAATACAAAAATAACTAAATGTTTTCTTTTAAGTTGTCTCTAATACTGAAGACGTCGGTGGGCGCTAACAGAGGTTCGTGTGGACCGTAGAAATTCCTTCACTCTGTCCTTTATGCGTTTGCTGTCAGCGCTGGTCAGGTATATATATATATATATATATATATATATATATATATATATATATATATATATATATATATATATTAATAAACTTCACAGCCACAAATATAAATAACACAACTTGTACTAAAACTGGGCGAGGATTTGAAAGAATACGATGCTTGTTATATAATTTAAAATGTTTTTCCTCTTGTCCTATTTCTGCAAACAAATTTTTTCACTCGCCAGGAACTTGCCGCTGGAGAGCACCGTCAACGATCTCAATCTTATGGCTCATTCTTCACGAATATAGAATTAAAATAATGGCGCGTTAGGTTTTTTATGCCGCGGGTGCAACCAACAAGGGTTGTGCATTTTAGTTTAACTTTTTGAGCGTTATAAGCAGCTCGGTTTTAGTTTTTATATAAATATATCAAGCCGAAACTAAACAGCGCATTCTCTCCGCCTCCTCGTTCATAACCAGCTGGACACGCTACTGAAGCAAGCAGGAGAGATAGCCTACTCCGTCATTCATAATCTTAGCTGATGTATCCGAGTCGAAAGAATATATTAAAGAGGAATGTTCTTTTAACAGTCCCGATACGTTTAATCTTTTTATTTTTATTTTTTTTTACTTTTTTTCCTGTCATTTCTCTTCATCAAATTTTTTTTAAGCTGCTTGATTATGTTAAAACAGAAAGCAGAGCCCGTCAATTGAGAGCGATGCATGTCATGTGTTGCATAATTGCCTTTTTTCTTGTGCGTGCGTGATCCATTTCTGATCCTTTTTTGCTCGGGCTCTCACACACAACCTTTATGTCTGCTGTGTCTTTAATATGGTGTGTAGATTATTATGCGTTATTGAAACATCAAGGGGGACGCAGCAAAGTAACTTAAATTAAAATTGTATTATTTTATGCAACAGCCTTACATTTAAAACGGAAACATAAGGGCGATTATAAGCAAAAAGACCTCAAGGCTAGATGTTTTCTTTCCCTTTATTATTTATTTGTTTATTTTGGCGCATGTGTGCGATAGGAAAACTAGTGTAATTACGGCAAGCCATCTTTCCCAGACTCGGGGCAAATTCCGCCTTTCCTTTCACTCCGTCCCGAAGCCATCCACTGCGTAAAACATATGCTGGATAAGTTGACGGTTCATTCCGCTGTGGCGATCACAGACTAATAAAGGGACTAAACCGAAAAGAAAATGAACGAACGAATGAATGAATAAATTAATAATAATAAAATAAAAATAAGGTAATAATCTTTAAACACAAATGCCGCGTAAGCGGGCTTTTTATTTTTAGAGATGGTACATTTGAATTGCCTCTTCCCACTTCCCCCACCTCAAAATTGAAAGTTGCAAAGAGAACTATAGCTCATTTACACCTTGATGTGTTAGCCTCAATAGCAAAGAGCATAGCCCATTTACACCTCAACACAGCAAGTTTAGCGGAAGAATGTCAAATCAGAATCACGCAGATGAAGCACACCAGCTACTACTTTCATGAAACTATTAAATGAGTATTGTCATAAATTTGCTTATTTGCAGCAGCTTTTTTTCGCGCAACAGAATTGCGGCGTTGGGAAGCCGTCAATGCATAAAAACAGGGTCAATAGTGAAATCGGCTTTTTATTGTATCCCTATTACCTATATCAATGCATTGAAGGCCTTTTATGGTGTCATCACGATAGAATAGCCTAAGTTATATTGAAATAATTTAAAGAACAAAGTTATAAAAACTCACATTACATAAATAAACAATTAAAAATATGTTTAGGTTGTCTTTATTTAATTGCCCTCGTGATGATGGTGTGCTTTATCATTATGTGCGTTTTACTTATAACGTGATTCAAATGATGGATCTGCGACAGAGAAACTAGGGGTTTTGGGAAACATGCATCACTATATCCTTTTTTTCCCCAAACTGTGCATAGTTCAGCCGCAAGTTACTGTAGCCTACGTCTTTTTTTGGAAAAGCACCCCATGTCCGCTAGTGCCGCGCGCCTCTTTCTCTGGGCAAAAAGGAGTTGATTTTTTAAATATTAAATATATAGATTAATTAAATATTCAGCAAAAGAGACATTTATTTCATATTTTACTATGCATTTCATCTGATAGACAAATCTTTATAGCTTAATTAAACACATATTGTCAAAACCCACACATAGGCCTATTGTATGAAAATGAAAAGGGCCTTTTTTGTTATTATTAGACTACTATTTGTTATTTGTTGCCTAGGCTATTTTCACATTTTCACATTTGAGGTGCTTTATTGGCATGACAAGTAACTGTACATTCGTTTCGCCAAAGCAGTGCAGCGTCACGTCTCACAAACAAGACAGGGGTTTGGGGGTTGGGGGGTGGGGGTTTGGGGGTTGTTGTTGCGCGCGTACTGAAGAGCGGTGTTGACGCGGTGCTGTCGCGCGCCTACTGAAGGGCGGGACCGAGGGTGTGCCGCGTCGCGGGGGCACTTTTGATCATTTTGGAAGGGCACTTTCTATCCAAGACTAAAAAGGGCATGTGCACTGCACAGGTTGAGCCCTATGTGCACGTGCCTGTCTCGGAGTATTTAGTGCACTTGGATATGCAGCTCCGTCTCAATCAGCTGCTGAGGGCACAGCCGCTTCCCCACCGGCAGCCATGTTTTTTTTGTGCCGGCCCGTCTCTACGGCTGGCTGATGTCCGCTGCCCGCTTCTAACATGTTAGAAAATACTGCAAATCAAGCTGTCGGTATCTCCCCGCGGTTGAAATTGTTCGTTATTCGAAGAAAAAAAAAAGAATAAATATCAGTGCGCAAGCTTTCTAGATTTATTTTAGGCCTATATTCAGCTGTTTTAATCTTGCAATTCTGATAACTTTTAGAGATAATGTCTGTTTTTATCAACTTGTCTGTCATTTATTTCTCATTTGCTACTTATTTTATTAATTTGTTGATGTTAATATACTACATATAGTCTTGTATATGCATCTAAAATCCTTTGGCATTCAAATTTGCTTTGAACTTAAAAGAGAGAAAGAATCTGATTTTACCCGTCAGAGCACATTGCATATGCCTTTTTTAAATAACATTTATTTAACAAATATTTTAGCACATCGAAAGTAATTAAATTACCTGTCTTTTGATTAAAACCTTTATGCAAAAAGATCAGAAAAAAGGCAATATATGCGTCATGACATCGCTCTCATGCCACGATTTGAGGATAAATTCGCTTTTAGGTGCTGCTTTGAATAAAATAAAACTATTAAAAAGCACATTAAAGACACTCATAAAATAAAACATTAATAAAGGAGTATCTTATGAAAAAACACCAATTGACGGGCTCTGCTTTCGGTTTTAAAAGAATCAAGCAGCTTTAAAAATATAATTTGCTGAAGAGAAATGACAGGGGAAAAAAGATTAAACATATCGGCACTGTAAAAAGAACATTCCTCTTTGATATATTCTTTCGACTCCGACACATCAGCTAAGATTATGAACGACAGAGTGTCTCTCCTGCTTCAGTAGCGTGTCCCGCTGGTTATAAACGAGGAGGCGGAGAGAATGCGCTGCTTAGTGTCGGCTCAATATATATTAAATTAAAAACTAACACCAAGCTGCTTATAACGCTCAAAAAAGTTAAACTAAAATGCACAAGCCTTGTTGGTTGCACCTGCGGGATGCACAATGAACCTAACGCGCCATTATTTTAATTCTATATTCGTGAAGAATGAGCCAACCGCATATGCTAAGTCAGTCCTGTTGGTCGGGACTCTCTGCTTTATAACTTATTAGTTTATTACAATAATCACACTTAGCTTTGCCATCGTTCTTCACCACATATAGCCACTCAACACATCTTGCGGTCCATCTTTAATGTTTAGATTATTGAAGGTGCTATTGATGTTTTGAGAAAAAAAAATTAATAGTACTGAAACTAAATTATTAAAAATAAACTTGCGGGACTTCGTTTATGTCCTGCGGCAACATTATTTTTATTACACTTTAAGTGATCTGCTTGAGGTAGGTCACGTTTATCAATGGTAAGTTTTAGCCTAAGTTTACATCAATAACATAATGTGCATTGTCCTTTACCATTCAAAAAAAGTTTAAAAAAAAAACATTTATTTATATTTTAAATGCATTAAAAAGCAAGCGCATATCTTAGCCTTGAGTTTGTTCACACTCTGCCTGTATTAACATAAATGCTGTATTTTAATATAGCTAATTTTGATTAGCTTTAACTGACAGCCTTTTCTTCTTTTTCCGCGGTTATGCGGCATTATATTTCACACGCATATGCAAGGTGACTGAATATGAAATTAAAATACAAAACTTACTGAGCCATTAAGTAAAAAAACAAAACAAAACAGTTATACTTTAAAGCAGAACATTGACGTTTTGAAACAAAAAACGGAACTGAAACTAAATTATTAAAAATAAACCTGCCAGACTTAATTTATGTCCTATTTTCATTATTTATTTATTTTCATTATTCGTTTATTATTATGTACTGAAACATAAAATGAGATAGTAAAATATAATCAACAACGAAAATGTAAATAAAAACGTAAATTAAAAACATAAATGAAAATATCTTGTCTTAGTCCTATCAAAATAGCAAACTTCATCTCTCTATATTTAGACTAAAAGACTGCTTTATTTATTTATATATTTATTTATTTATTTATTTATTTATTTATTTATTTAAGACTACTTATTTATACTGAATGTTTATGCTTTCACTTTAGTTGTCTTTCATTTCTTCAATTGTATTTTCCAAAACGAATCCTCTTTGCACTTAAAAAGTTTACAATAAACCAGGTAAACAAATTTTAAATGTAAGTTGAGGTGATCGCAAGTTCACAACTGTGAGGTGATGTGCTCTACCGGCCCGATAATCTATATTATTTTGCTGTTTTTCATATGCGCACGTTTAGGATTTGAGATAATAACATTTTCATGATAGTCAAAGAAATCAAAACATTATTTTCACCCCAACGCAATTTAATCGGGCACTGAAGGCTAATAACTTAATTCTTATATTTGCTTTTTGACTTCTCACCATGTATCTTTTCTACAGCATAGTATAATGTAAGAGCATGTCTATTACCAGAAAAACTAAATTAAAATTATATTTTAATTGAACACATCACATCACATACAGTAAGCTACGCCTACAGAACAGTCTGTTTAGCATTGTGAAAAGGCAAAGCTGAATATCTGTGGTTAAAGTGCCACCCAGCGGTCAAATGCTGCTGGCGCATCAAGTAACGCCGTCGCCGCGGTATGAATGGCGGCACAAGGAACACATTGAAGTAGTAACATCTGTATAAAGGCACCATCTGAAGATGAATCTGCGTAGGCTACGTGAATCGGAAACATTTCCATTCAATAAATCTGCAAATAATATGTGTTGCTTAAATGTGCTTAACATAATACACACACACACTTATTAACGATTCCTACTTGTCTTCCTCGTGATGAAGAGTAGGCAAAATCTGATATTTAGTAGGGAAAAAAGAAGAATGAGTTCATCAGAAGCTGGATTTGAACCGAGTTCATGAATGATAGGTACGCCACTTGCGCTGTTTATATACGCTGTCTGTAGCTTTCTTGTCTCTGTCGATCAAACGGGCGGAAATCACTTAACTAGCTCATTCCAACGACAAACGACAGATTTTTCCGCTTTACCTCCTATAAGAGCACCTCCAATTCACATTCTGTTCAAAGATTCTCTTTTAGCTTGCTATTGACATTACTTTTTTATTTGGTTTTGCCAAAGTAGAGTCATTACCATATTTATTAGGGGAGGAGACAGGGAGGGGTTTTGGGCACGTGCACGTGCGCTCAGTTTCACGTTAAGTCGGATGTCCAAAGAGAATATGCGTGGGATTCGGCGCACGCAGTGTTTCAAACATCTGAATTTTTTACTGCGTATGCACATTTACAACATGGATAACATGGATAAAGAAAAACAAACACACTGCAGAGTATGGGCTAACAGGCCATTAGGAGCTTTTCTTTTCTCTAAGATTATACGACGTTTTAAAGACTTTCAGCTTCGCGTTAGCTAATGTATACCAGACACTCAGGGTTCCCATAGTCATGAAATTTTAAAAGGTCCTTTCAAATGTTGGCAATTAAATTCAGTCACTAGGATGTTCTTGTTAAAAATTCATGATTTCCACAGCCTAAAATAACTGATTTTGCAGTGACTTTTTATAAAGTAATTTTACAACGCAACCCTGACAATATACCAATTAAAACTATTAAAAATGTCAATGAAAATCACTTTTTCAAACTTTTCAGCATCAAAACTTGTTGGAGAAAAGAAAAAGATCATGTAATACTATTCAAAAGCATACATCAATGAAAAAACAAAAAGATTGGAAACCTGTGCAGAAAGTTTGCAGGAAATCAGAAAAAAAAGTAAATAAAAATCCAAGCTCCTCTAAATTATTTGCCAATTTTTGCATCCACAGAACCAGAAAATTCGTCAAATTTAAATTCATTATAGATCATGGAAATTTTTAGTCAGTAAAAATTGGTGAATTTGACATTTGGTCTGGATTGGGAAGCCTAGACTCTACAGTATTCCCACTCATCGACTCTGATTTTCATCCAGCTCTTTTGTTTTGTTTTGTGTCTGTCAGGTGTGAGGTGGAGAACCGCTATCAAGGCAATCCTCTGAAGGGAACCTGTTATTGTGAGTATGTTTGTGCTGACGATCAGGGCAGCTCATGTTGTGGCTATTTGAGTCATTCAGTCATTTTCTGAACCTTTCATTTCCTCCTTTGCTGACGGATTCAGGGAGAAAGCATGAAGCTGCATGCGTTTCAGTCTGTGTGAAAATAGCAGGATTTTGACATGTATTCTCTTTCACAGCCGTAACTATATCTCTATCTCTGACACACAGACACTCTGCTGATAGATTACCAGTTTACCTTCAGTTTGTCTCAGGAGGACGACCGCTACTACACTGCTATTAACTTTGTGGCAACTCCAGATGAGGTTTGTTGTGCTGGAAAACCTTCACTGTTGAAGAAGTGCATGTACTCGATGGATATAAATCAAGCGTTAAATTATAAAAAATAAATAAATAAAGTTAAAACAAATTTGGGGCGACACGCTGGCTCAGTGGTTAGCACTGTCACCTCACAGCAAGATGGTCGCTGGTTTGAGTCCCGGCTGGGTCAGATGACATTTCTGTGAGGAGTTGTGTGTGCATGTTCTCCTAATGTTTGTGTGTGTTTTGATTTAAAATAATTTGATTTGATTTGTGGGAAATGATTTAAAATAAATATTTTTTATCAGCTCGTTCATCAACTTATCTTTAAAAAATACATTTACTTAAAAACAAATTGTTTCCAAAATTTACCATTTGTAAATTCAGCTTTGCCATCAAAGGAATAATTATTTAAGTAATTGAAGGGACATTCTACCAGAAATGTACAAAAAGTATTTTATCCCCCAAAATGTCTAAAATAGACCGATAGGTGATTACTGTGTGTTGTCCGAAAATTAATATGTCATTCATTTGATTCTCAGATTGTTTAAACACTTTACAAATTTACGAACCCTGTCACTGTCCTCCTCATTAAACCTACAGCTTAAATAGTTTTGTTATGCTAAAAACTGTTATTTAGAAAAAAATACTTCAGAAACACAGCTAGTTTATAGGGGGTCGCACACCAGACGAGCTACTCAGTGCCACGACACGGCGCACACATGACAGTTGGACTTAACGCACAGCAGACCCACACATTTGCATGTTATTTAATATGAAACTACTCAGATAGTGCTCTGTGGTGCGGCAGAAATATAAACAGTGTCTTGAGTTGTAGCTAGGCACTGCAAACAGCCACTGACTTGCGGCACCGGTCTGCGAATCCTGATAAAATCTATGTTTAGAATTCTAAAATGCATGTCGCTGCCTGCCGTGGTGCCGCACCAAGCAACACATCTGGTGTGCGACCCCCTTAAGTTGTTATCATTCACATCAATTGATTAAAAGCATGACATTATTAACAAATTCTACGAATAAATACTGTTTTACAATCGTCCCATATTTCTGTCAGTCCTGTCAAATTTGCATACATTTTTTTAAGGCTATGACTAGAGGTAGTGACATAATTTGTCAGAGGAGAAGATCAAGGATGCTTTCTATCATAAAATTGTTTGATTTTTTTTTTTTTTTTTTTTTGATGAGGAAAAACTTAAGGTCAGGTTGTCACATTTTCTATAGTTGAAAATTGAAGTTTCTGGTAGAATACCCCTGAAACAGAAAAAAAAAATCTATCTATCTATCTATCTATCTATCTATCTATCTATCTATCTATCTATCTATCTATCTATCTATCTATCTATCTATCTATCTATCTATCTATCTATCTATCTATCAATCTATCAATCTATCAATCTATCAATCTATATATATATATTATTATTATTATTATTATTATTATTATTAAATTTATTTTATTTTATTTTATTTTATTTTATTTTTTGGAATTAAATTCCAGACTATTACTTTTTTCACTATATTTTTAAACAAAAAATTCAACCTTATGCATATAAACTTGGTGTATTTATTAATAAAATACAATTTGTGTTGAGAATTCACTTTTAAAATATCTTAGATTAAGTATGTATTAATGCCTATTTTGATCATCTAATGCAGGAGTCAGCATCTCTGTTACTGAAGAGATGCCTTCCAGCAGAATTCAGCTTCAATCCTAATCAAACACACCTGAACCAATTAATTAAAACCTGAAGCAGGTGTGTTTCGCCAGGGTTGCAACTGAAATCTGCAGGAAGGTAGATCTCCTGGAACAGGGTTGTTGGTCCTTGACCTACTGGCTAGTGATAGTGTAGTGACAAATTTAATGAAAAATGACTAAAGAATGAAAAAATTTGTTCATTTATTTTCCTTTAGTGTTTTTTTTTTTTTTTTTACTTTAAAACAGACTATTTATGAACTACATATTATGTGACATCTGCATCGAGAGCAAGTGACATGCTCGACATCTCCCTGGAATACTAAACCTTTTTTTAACCTTACTATACATTTTATAGGGTACATATTTAAATTCAGTGAATTATTCAGTCTGAAAGTCTTTTGAATTTGTCTTGCAGCAAAATCGCGATCTGGACATGTTCATTAATGCCTCGAAAAACTTCAACCTCAACATCACATGGGCAACCAGCTTTGCAGGTATGAAACCCAGACACAGATATGTACTAAACACAAACGCATACATAAACTGAGCATGTTGCAAATGAGCAGCACATTCAATAAGTCTCTTTTTCTTTCTTGCCTGAGCAGCTGGAACTCAAGCTGGTGAGGAAATCCCTATAGTCTCACGCAGCAACATCAAGGAATTCAAAGACAGTTTTTCCAACGAGAAATTCGACTTCAGGAGCAACACCAACATCACCTTCTACGTTTATGTCAGCAACTTCACCTGGCCAATTAAAATCCAGGTGAGTTTAATTGAAGTTAAATTAAATGTTTGAGTTGAAGTTAATTTGCATGTTGGACCGCAGTTATGTCTAATTGGAGATCAGTGGTACTCAACATACTGAATCAAAAGGAAAAAAAAATACTTGCTAACTTTGACACTTATGGGAATATCTGCTAACACTTATAGTGACCCAGTATAGGGACTAGTTATCACTGTTAACTAGTTTATAGAACATTAGACTTACTTGATTATTAGAATGTTATTAAGATATTGGCTATTTATTAATACTTATAAAGTACATATTCTGGATTATCTTGATCTACATTCTTAATTCCTACTATCCTACTATCTCCACTACTATCCTTTTACTATGAATAAGCAGCTAATTAATAGTATAATAAAGGAAACGTCATTATAAATGGATTTTTAATAGCAAGAATTGTACCTTTAATTAAAGTGTGACCAAAAAATCCTTGCTGTGTGTTACTCAGGGTTGAATGTATTGGCTGTGTCCCGATATACAGAAATATTTCACTGCTACGAGTGTGATATTGTGTTTATACAACAGTTCGACAGGATAATGGTGTATATAGAAAAAAAAAAAAAAATCAAACACCCAGTGTCCAGAGTCTGGACAACCCTTTTGTAAGAGAAACTGCTTTCTCCCTCCATTCACATCTGCTGTTTTGACTTTAGAGCTAGTATTCGATTGATTCTGTAGCGTAAAATCCAAAGTAATGACAAAACACGTGATTTTGCTCACATTTTGATATTATTAGGCTGAACGACATAAAATGCCGTCAGTATAGAGACATGTTCTAGTATTTCTTGGGGATATGCAATTGGGATATTACAATAATTAACCCCGGAAAACCAAAGCAAAGCTAACACTGCCAACACAGATACTATGATATAAATAAAGCACTACAACATACAAAAGAGATACATAATAGTGTCACTAACCAATTTTACAATAATTTGATCCGTTGTAGTTTGAAATTACGCTGGGTTTTTCTCCACTATGGGATTATGCGGTTTCTGTAGCCATCTTGTGGCAGAATATCAACATTCTTTGCTCTACTCGATGAACGGCTAATGGCAGCTGATGTGCTAAGTCTCAATTATAAATATCTAAAATAGGCACTATCCTTATAAATAACTGCAAGGTTGCAATCTAAACGTCTACATTCTTGCCTAAAAAGCCTCATTAAGCCTGAAAGTACATTATGTCAAACAGTCGTTATATTTGTCAAACAAGTGAGTTTATTGATCTGCTGTCACTATGTGGGTGGAGTAATACACAAGATTGAAGAGGCTGCACGAGTGCTGTTATTGCAGAATATCGCATGGCTGTCAGTCAATCAGATTGTAGAACCAGACATAACTGTTGTATAAAAAAAAAAAAAAATATATATATATATATATATATATATATATATATATATATATATATATATATATATATATATATACACTCGTGCTCCCGTTTACTTTTGAATTCAGCATGAGTGATCATCTTCTCATTCGGTTTTCACCTACTTTCTTTTGCTTGCGCGAACAAAGTTTTTTGTCAGTTGTGCTGCTTCTCGATTCTAAGATCACATTTGCACAAATATTGGGCCATGCTTATTGTCGAACCCTGCTTTTAATAAAACCACAATTTAAATATTATTTTCAACCAGCCAAAGTGGTTAGTAGGAGTGTCTAACCCACCACAGCTTACATTTACCAGCATTTGGTGGGTTGGCAGGTATTAACGTCAAGCCCTGGTAATCAACTTTAACATTATTATTATTTTATGGTTCTACAGGGTTAAGATTCTTATAAAGCTGCCAGGATTATATTATGCAAGTGTAATCACTCTAAAAAAATATTTGGTTTGAGTGAATGATTGAACTTCCATCATATGAAACCATGGAGACTGCATTGTTGCTGTCAAACTTACAGAATTCAATACCAATCGGTTCTGGGGAAAAAAATGGTAAAGATTAACATTTCCTGCTTGCCTTTTGAGCACTGTTCAGTGGATGATTCTCTGAGTGCTCTGTAAAAAGCATGAAATGACAATCATTGTAGCCAATCACTGTCCTATCTGTTGAGTGTGTGAACGCAGTGGACAATCATATGTGTTAAAGAACCTGCTCAAGAGTGCTCAGATGTTAGTGGGAAATGGATGGGTCTTTTGATTGTTTGTTTTTTTCTTTAAATTACATTAGAGAATGGCATTGTGGTTGTTACTTTCGACAGCACTAGGCTGCAGAATAAGGGGGGAAATGTGAAATGTATGATAATATGGAATAGCCAGACTACTGTTTAAGTTCTATGGGTTTCTGGCTGGTTTTAGTTTTTTGTTTTATTGATGTTGACTAATAAACTCAATTGGCCGTAGTGCATGGTTGTGTGTGAATGAGAGTGTGTATGGGTGTTTCCCAGTACTGGGTTACAGCTAAAAGGGCATCTGCTGCTTAAAACGTATGCTGGAATAGTTCATTCTGCTTTGGCGACCCCTGATGAATAAGGGACTGAGCCAAAGGAAAATAAATAACTGATTGGAGAGGTGAATAATAAACAAGATTCCAGCAACACGCAATTTGGCTGTCCACATCAAACGCGACACAACAGAAACATTAGAATTCCACAGAAGTGCAGAAGGGTGCACTTTACTTCCAATGGCAAGTAAATATTAAACCTAATTAACCTTATTAAAAGTACTTGTTAAGTCACAGTTGTAATGTTCATGTTTATGTTCTATGTTTGCTTGTTTTATTTTGAAGATCTAAGGTAAACTATCTGCTGCCGCTTTCAGTATAGCTATAAATCTTGCATTAAATGATATTCAAACTCAAACTGGTAACTTAACACTGAATAAAGCACATGATCAGCACCTGAGGCAATTATGGTAATTTTCGATGTTGTTCAGCCATGTCATCACAGAAATAGAAACTGTTTGCAAAATAGCAACCTTGAGAGATGCCATTGTGGATGAAGGGCATAAAAACTCATTTGAAAAGTTAGCACGTCGCATTGCCGGGTCATTCGCAGTTAGGACACGGTGTAATAAGTTGAATTGCAAAATCCAGGTGAGCGCACATTATTGGCTCTGCTGACATATACAGAGAAAATATCACGCCGCTGTGTGAGAGTGTGAGCGTCAGTTGTTTTGTTTTGCTATATTATCCCCTCCTTCCGTCTGTAAATTCACGAAGGCCATGTCCTTTTATTCTTTCTCATATATCTTTGGCCTTTTCTGTCTGGTCTGGAAATGATTTGGCAGAGTTTTCCCTTCCCTCCCTCTTTTTCTCTCCTCTCCTCCTCTTTTCGTTTTCTCCCTCCTCTCTTCCTTTGCGTTGGAAAGCGATCTAACTTTGCTAGGACGCTAACCCAGAGTTTGTTTTAGATTGTCCGCTAGCTGATCTAGAGCACGTTGCCACCTCAGCTCATGGAGAAAGGCTGAATGTCACACAGGTAACACTTACCGTCTCTCTTGTTCACCTTTCACTTTCTGACCAACCTTTGGGTTCCACGTTTCATCAAACGGAGAATGCTTGTGGCGATTTCAAGAGTGAATGTGGGCAAAAAGGGGTCTTGGCGTGCAGGACAGAGGGGCTCTTGTCAGGAGTTTAGAGGAGAACGACGAGAGGCGAAAAACCTGCTCTGTAAACATGGCAGGCTGAGACTGAGAGCGTCAGAAGGAATGTTAAGTTGAAACACATGGCTCTTTTTTGAAAGAGAGACTGAGGGAAGAGCCTGAGAGAAATAAGAGAGATCAGAAAGTTCAGAAGCAGCCTTCTGTTTCTGCCTCTTGTTTTCATTTCGCCCTGTGGTTGGAGAGTCTGTGTGCGGCCTGTGTAGCTTTTGGCCGGTGCAATGCTGGAAGTGTGTATGCTTGTAAATCTAAAGAGGAGTATAGTAGGAGCCTTCACTTGTCAGGGTTTCCTAGGTGCGAACATTATGTGATGAAAACAGAATTTGGTTGAATAGCTGGTTGCATTTCACCCTAATATTATTTTGTTTAGAAGAGGTGCATTTTCTTGATACACTTTGGTGATTCTTATTAGTTCATCATTACTTGGATACAGTAGTTGTGTGTTTTTTATTTAAGAAAAATATAATATTTCTGTTTTAATTATGTACATTATCACTAATGGTGCCTTTCTTTTTAAATATATAATACAATCTTGTTGTTGTTGTTGTTGTTATTATTATTATTATTATTATTATTACTGCTATTAATATTATTATTATTATTTTAATTGTTGTAAATAATGTCATTTTACAAAATTTTGGGCTGTAATGTGCCTCGTTGGCATTTACAAAAGTGTCACATTTCATTTCCTAGAAGTAATTTTTATTCACATTATTCAACGTGGTAAAAATAATAACACATCCAAAAAAACCATTTCATAAATAGGTAGGGTTACTACTGCTAATAAAGGTAAATAATAATATTTTTTTTTAACTATTTTTAACCACCCCTTTTTAAAGTGATGTTTGCATAAGTGCAAAAGTAATATATTTATAAAAATACAGTTGCTAAAATTACAGGTTTTGTAAAAAAAAAAAAATAGTATTTACGTTTTATTTTGATTTATAAACAGCTATTAAAATCTTTAAATATGTACTTGATGTGATAAATACATTTCATCGTAATTTATTGTGGCTTAAAAGTATCTACAGTAAATTATTTCATCATATGAGATGATTGTCACATTTTTTTTTAAATATATTGACTCTTTATATGGTAATTATTTGTAATGTGGACATCCAACTTATTAAAAAATATCAGCCATTTGAATGTACAGTAACTATATCATCACAGCTTTTTATTATAATGTCTGTTATTTTACCCCCCCCCCCCTCCAAAAAAAAAAAAATTGGAGTCTTTTATCCAAAATATTACAGATTCTTCATTATTAAAAACTGTTAATTGAATGAACTAATTTACTGAACAAAAATAATTAGCTAATCCTTGTGTGATACAAAAAGAAGAAGCAGTACTACAGTATGGCGACTAGGTCG